GCATGCGCGGGGCGGGAGCGCTGTGGTGGCCGCGCTTTGCGCCTCTTGTGATGGTACTAAATTATGAGAGGGTCTGAGTTACTAAACTTACTATTAGGCAGGCAGTCCAAAGAAGATTGCAGTCTCATTTACTGACAGACAATTAGTGGGAGTGGGCCAGACTCTGCAAGAAGACTGGAGAAAATGACTTGCGTTACCTGTTCATTTAGAAAGTTTAAGTTTTTGAATTTCATAAAACGTACAACTTTAAAATTAGTTTCTATGCGAACATTCCAGGGATATAAAAATTAAGAGTTTTGAGCTGATAATTAATAGTGAGGTCCCTCAAAACTCACAATTAGTTTTGGGCACCTCAGTACAGAAAGGACACGGAGGTGCTGGAGCAGGTCCAGAGAAGGGCAACAAGGCTTGTGAAGGGAGAATATCCTATATTATATCTCCCTATGAGGAGAGACTGAAGGAGCTGGGGCTGTTTAGCCTGGGGAAAAGGAGGCTGAGGGGAGACCTTATTGCCCCTGCCAGTATCTGAAAGGTGCTTACAGCGAGAGCGGGGCTGGGCTCTTCTCACTGGTGACAGGTGACAGGACGAGGGGAAATGGCCTCAAGTTGTGCTACAGAATCACAGAATGGCAGGGTTGGAAGGGACCTCAAGGATCATGAATCTCCAACCCCCCTGCCACATGCAGGGCCACCAACCTCCCCATTTAATACTGGACCAGGCTGCCCAGGGCCCCATCCAATCTGGCCTTGAACACCTCCAGGGACGGGGCATCCACAACCTCTGTGGGCAGCCTATTCCAGCACCTCAACACTCTCATAGTAAAGAAGATAAGGGTAAGTTTAGGTCAGATATCAGGAAAAACTTCTTTACAGAAAGGGTTGTTAAGCACTGGAATAGGCTCCCATGGAGGTGGTTGAGTCACCATCCCTGGATGTGTTTAAAAACCATTTGGATGTGGTGCTCAGGGACATGATTTAGTGGAGGGTTGTTAGAGTTAGGGTAATAAGGTTAGGTTGTGGTTGGACTCGATGATCTTTAAGGTCTTTTCCAACCTGAGCAATTCTATGATTCTATAAGGAGACTTTGTTGTAAGTGCATTGCTGGGGAAAGATACAGAGTCTGGGAAGAGTCACTTGGATCACAGACTTACCTCCAATACACAAATATTAAATACAAATGTAAATAAATGAATGCTCTTAACCCCTTTTAGGAGATCGATTATTAACTTGATAAGGATATATTTCTCCCTGATGGGACACAAGTGCCAGTGAAGGAGGAATGGAGCTGTCAGCTGGATGTCTCTATGTATGGTGCACGGTATTTATTAGCTTACAGATGCATTCCAGATGAAAACACAAGGGACATACTACAAACTTATTTGCACACCAGTGATTTACCAGCTATAAGGAGAGACAGAAGTCAACACTCAGCAACCACACTCTGCTTCTGTAAGTTTCACCTAGTGTATATAGATATAAATACATAGATATATATATCTTCTTACTGTACACTGGGAATAAACATCTCTTATAATCTTTTCCTCACTTCAGTAGTTTGTTCCTAATCCATAGTCACAAAGGAGAGCAGACACACATTTGTAACTGCCACCAGCTTGTTTAACACGCTACTGTTTCTCCCCATAGAAGACAAACCTGCTGCCACTCCATTCCTCGTGGAGCAGTTTGGCCCAAGTATTTATCCATTTATCAAAACAGATCATCATCAAACAATACCTTTTTTTTTTTCTTTTTTCTTTTTTTTTAACCTGGAAGTCACAAGAAAGGAAAATTCTGTGGTCTATTCTTGCAAGACTCCCCTACCACCTCTGTTACTCAGCCAAAACAGGGCAGGTGAAAGAAGCCCTCAGCCTCAGTTTCCAAATCCTTGAGCATGGGAGGGTTTTCAGCCTCTGTGGTCTTCCATTGCAGATGCTTATTGGAATAGAAAGAGGCATATAACTTAAAGATATTGGCACTCTCAACACAATAATTTCAATAGGATTAGCAGTTATTTGAAGGTTGTGGACAAGCAGTTTCATTTAGATGTCTTCCTATAATGTGAATTTAGAGATAGTACAGATTTTCAAATTGAGCAGTTCTGTGGATTTCAGGCAGAATGTGAAGCTAGGAAGCTGCACATACCTTTGGGGAGGCAAGACAGGTGCATTCAAACTGGCCAAATTTAGGTATGAGGGATGGACAAGGGGCATTTTCAAATAAAGAAAATCACTTTTTCATTCACAGAATTTTGCCAAGAATGTCACTAGAAGCATTTCTCACAGAGAAATGATAGTTACATTCATTTCTCCAATATTGATGTGAATACTAATTGGGTGGCAAATGCCCATATTGCATTTGGTTATGATATCAGTGGTACAAAAGTACACTAAAGATTTGGTCTCATTAATACAGCCATTAGACTCTTCTCTGTAGCATTGGCCAGAGAGGGTTTTGGAAACACTTTTTGACATAGTTGGATTCAGTATCCTTGTGGGTCCCTCCCAACTCAATATATTCTATTGTTCTAGTTCAGTTCAGCAGTGTTTTGTTATTTCACTTCTTCCTTATGAGACACACACACACAAAGTGATGACAGCTTGTATCAATTAACTGAGATAGTTATTGCTAAATGTAAATTGGAGTAGTTAATATTTTATTGTTTCTAGGAGATAATTGGATTGTGGCTCTGTAAACACAACAGTGTAGAGCTTTGACATTGCCATTAAGCTACTCAGTCTCCTGAGATCCTCCAGGATGACTTAATTCCAAGTGGTGGAGAAACTCTGAAAGAAGTTGCTTACATGTGTGTATCTCACTGTTATAGTAATGTCAACTGTTTCCACAAGGTGTCACAAGACTACAAGGATCAAACAAACTGAGCCTGATAGATATGTATACAGCATCATTGTACATAACACTTCAGTTTGCATATAATCTACAGAGTGATTTCACCAGTGTTGTAATCTCAAATGAATTGTGCAATCCAAGATGTTTTGATTGTTGTTACTTAACTGTAAAAGTTGTCTCCAAATACGGTAATGCTGGTCCCAAAGCCAATGAACATATATTGCTGTACTATCCCTGTACTAAGGTGCTGACAACTGTTGAAGGTGCCATCTTCCCTTAATAATCAATATCATCTGTATTAAAGCTTTATCCATATATACTTGCAAATTCTGTACCAGCTTGTAATACCATATTAACAAATTCCTAGTATTTTCTGTTCCAGAAACATCCCTTTCTGCCCTGAATTCCAAATGATTATTATTGCACATTATTGCAAAAGCTTCCATTCTCCCCTCTAATGCTAAATAGTGATCAAATTAACAGTACTGGTAGATTTCTCCAATATAAATGAAAAACATTCTGTTTGTAAAGCGCACGGCAAAGTCCTGATTAAAGTCATTAGTGAGCTAAACGACTCCTGGTGGGAGTACAGCAGCTCTTAGCAGACAGGCAAACACCACCTCCTGGCTCTAATGGTACTGGAATCAAATCATAGACTCATAGAATCATTAAGGTCAGAAAAGACCACTAAGATCAAGTCATAGAATCATAAGACTCATAGAGTGGCCTGGGTTGAAAAGGACGACAATGATCATTGCGTTTCAACCCCTCTGTCATGCGCAGGGTTGTCAACCACCAGACCAGGCTGCCCAGAGCCACATCCAGCCTGGCCTTGAATGCTTCCAGGGATCCACAACTTCCTTGGGCAACCTGTTTCAGTGCATCACCACCCTCTGTGTGAAAAACTTCCTCGTAAGTCCAACTGTCAACCCATCTCAACCATGCCTAACATCACTAACTGCGGCCCTCAGTGCTACATCTCCATGTTTCTTGAGCACCCTCATGGACAATGACTCCACCACTTTCCTGGGCAGTCTGTTCCATTGCTTGACAGCTGTCAGAGAAGAAATTCCTGCTGCGCAGAGAGGCTGTGGATGCTCCATCCCTGGAAGCATTCAAGACCAGGTTGGATGGGGCCTTGGGCAGCCCCCTGGTATAGTACCAGATCTGGAAGTTGGTGTCCCTGCCTGTGGTAGAGGGGCTAGAGAATTGATGATCCTTGGGGTTCTCTTCCAACTCAAGCCAGTCTATGATTCTGTGATTCTGTGATCCCTCTGAAGGACCTTCCTACCCTCAGGCAGATCGATATTTCCTCCTAACTTGGTGTCATCTGCAGACTTACTGAGGATGCACTCAGTCCCCTCATCTAGGTCATCAATAAGGTTATTAAATAGGGCTGGCCCGAGCACAGACCCCTGGGAAGCACCACTTGTGACCGGTCGCCAGCTGTTTTTAACCCCATTCACCACCACTCTGGGCCCAGCCACGCAGCCACGTTTTACCCAGCAAGTTGTGACCCATCCCAGCCACGGGCTGCGTCTTCTCCAGAGCACGGTGCTGAGGCACAGGCTGACCAACCCACAGCCTTCCCCATCCACCTGCCCAACCCCACGCTGCCTTCAGCTGAACACAGAGCATGGTGCTGCATACGTGGGGAATGCATTAATAAAGCCACGACCGCCATCATTTGTTCATGGTTTACTTAAGCTCTCCACACCCAGCACGCCTCCAAGTGCCAGGATACCAGACAGCTACTGGACTGCAGGAGCTGAAGAGGCGTTCAGCAACCTGTAATTACACTTATGACTCTGTAGCCGCTGGCCTCTACTTGGATTATATTTAGGAAGAGCCTATTTGCCATAAAAAACGAACGAGTTCCCAGCTCTCAAGTGCCGGCGCTGGGACGAGACCGGCGCGCAGGCGCTGCCCTGTGTCGCGTCGGGGCCCGGGCCGAGGAAGCGCCACCCCGCAGCACAGAGCGGGCAGCGGACGCGCGCGGTGCACCACGGGGCTCGTAGTCCTCCCGCCGCTCGGCCGGCGCGCGGCCTCACGGGAGTTGTAGTCCCGCCGCTTCCTCCCCCCGGCGGCGCGCGGGGGCCGTCTGGCGGCCGCGGACTACAGCTCCCAGGGGGCCGTGCTGCGACGGCCGCCCATTTCTTGCCGGGATGGGGGGTGAAAGGCCGGGGCCGCGCCGGGGGGGCAAAATGGCGGCCAGGTTGAGCGGCGGAGAGAACCGGCTGGTGTCACTGCCGCTGTCGCGCATCCGCGTCATCATGAAGAGCTCGCCGGAGGTGTCCAGCATCAACCAGGACGCGCTTTTCCTCACCGCTAAGGCCACGGTAGCGTCTCCCGCCTTCCCTCCCCTCTGGGCCGGGCGGGCTCTCGGTTGCGCCTCTTCGCTCAGCGCTACGACGTCCAGCGCCTCGTATACGTGCTGTTAAATGTGGCACTTGTGCCTTTAACTGGGGGTTAAACTGTCACCTGTATATCCGAATCTGTATTATTTGCTTTACGTTTTAGGAGCTTTTCGTTCAGTATTTGGCGTCGTACTCCTACAAACACGGCAGAGGCAAGGAGAAGAACGCCCTCACTTACAGCGACCTGTCTCACACTGCAGAAGAGTGTGAAACCTTTCAGTTCCTTGCAGGTATCTGCAGAGCAGTGGTAATCCTGTGTGTTAATTTGAAGATGGAGTTTTGATTTCATTGAATTGTTTTGTGAGGGCACTGTTCTCCTGCTGGTCATTATTCTCCTGTTATGTATAGACAAAAAAAAAAAAAAAAACCAGCCATATAGCTAAAGGCTTAATGGCAGGGTTGGGAATGGTCAGGCTGAACTGTTGCCCTGAAAAGTTCAGCAGTTCTCCCTTTTATTCAGCAGGTAAGAAGCTAATGTCTTCTTAGTCAGCATGCTAAATCCAGGCTCAGGGTGCTGACACACTGGAACAGGTTGCCCAATGAGGTTCTGAATGCCCCCTCCCTGGATGCATTCAAGGCTGGATGGGACTTTGAGCAACCTGGTCTAGTGGGAGCAGTCCCTGTCTATAGCAGGGGAGTTGGAATTAGGTGATCTGAAACATCCCCTCCAACCCAGATCATTCTGTGATTCATTCAATATCCTGGTGTTGCCAAGCTTTTCTTCGTTACCACCTAGGAAAACTCATGGCCATGTAAATAAAAAGGAACAAATTCGTCAGGATTCACACATATGTTTAAGTGACAGCACAGAAGGTCTTGTTCAACAAGTGGATGTCAATCTGCCACGCTTTAGCCACTCTTCCACTTCTGCTTCTGCTGTCACCTCTGCTATGTGCCCTTATATATCCATGTAAAAAGATGTGAAGTTGTTGGAGCAGGTACAGAGGAGGGCCATGAAGTTGTCAAAGGGCTGGAGCACTTCTTAACAAGAAAGGTTGAGGGAGTTGAGCTTGTTTAGCTTGGAAAAGAGAAGGCTCCAGAGAGACCTCATTGCAGCCTTCCAGTACTTGAAGGGAGCTTACAAGCAGGAGAGAGACTGATTTTTTTACATGCTCTAATAGTGATAGAACAAGAGGGAATGATTTTAAACTAAAGCGAGAGGAGATTTGGATTAGATATTAGGAGGAATTGTTTTTTTTTTACTCAGAGGGCAGTGAAGTACTGGAAAGGCTGCCCGGAGAAACTGTGGGTGCCTCATCCCTGAAGGGGTTCAAGACCAGGTTGGGTGGGGCCCTGGGCAGCCTGAGCTGGTGGCTGGCAACCATACCCATGGCAGAGAGTTGGAACTAGATGGGCTTTTAAAGTCTCTTCCAATCCAAGCCATTCTGTGATTCAAATCTAACTCAAGCTACGTTACTGAAAACACTTATTTGTGGACAGGGATTTATTTCTCCGGTGTTGCAAAATTATACCAGGGTAATTAGTGCTCAGCATATTGCCGTAAGCACTTCTGACATGCCAACAATCTCATTTAAAAGCTTTCAGCCTGTAAAACAAGACCTAAAAAAGATGCGACAAATTACATGGCTCAGAAATCACGCATTTGAATCTGTAAGTCCTGTTTCCTAAAAAGGATGCATCATATGGTTCCTCTCCCTTTTAATGTACATATTTACATCTGTATGCACATGTGCACGCACACTTTTCTCTTGTAGTTGGAACTTATTGGTAATGTTTCACTCTGAAAGGGCATGGACAGAGAATACAGGGAGAGAATGTGATATTTGTAGCCTGTTTTTTCTCAGGGCTCCTTGTTTTGCCTTGTCTCAGGGCCATTGTTACTGCCCTGAATGAACATCTTACCTGAATAAAGAAATCAGCTTTCTACAGGACACAAGTATGGCAGCTGTCCTATTGAATCTTTCAAAGGCTGTTGAGTAATTGAGCATTCCATTTAACATCAAACAAATAATATTACTCGTAATTAGAAAAAGAAAAAAGGAATTATCTATTCTCACGATACACATTGTACATCAGGTTAACTCAGTTGGTCATTAACTAAAATGTGTTAGTTGGTATTGTTTTGTTTAGTGGTATTCAGTCCCTTCCAACCTGTCTGATTCTGTGATTCTGTATGAATGCAACATTATGAAAAAGGCAATGTAAGTATTTACACTGACTAAAAGAAGCCATTCTCCCTTCCAGATATCTTGCCAAAGAAAATCCTAGCTAGCAAATATCTAAAAATGCTTGAAAAAGAGAAGCGAGATGGAGAATTGGGGAAATGCGATGAAGAAGATGATGATGAAGATGATGATGAAGCTGTGGATGAAGCTGTTGGATCTTAAGGCTAGTGGAGTGGCTACTTCATAGTTGATCCATTTTCTTTTGTATAAAGGATGTTATTTTTGTGACTGAGAATCCAGATGCTGGATATATTTATACACTGAGCCATCTGCTTTTGCTCTAAGAAGTTTAAAAATTGAACTGTGTACTTTCTGAAGAATGGAATTCTTTCCTCAGAAACGTGGTTGCAAGAGAAGCACTAATGTAAATGTGACAGCAGAACTTGCTCATATGATTGAAAATGACTTCTTCAGACAATCGTTATCCAAACGTACAATTCCTTACAGGCAGCTCTCAGTCCAAAAGCTCTTTCACTCTTTAAAAGGGAGCTCTTCCCCAGTTTGCGTTTCTCAGGTGAGGGGAGGGTTTTTACACAGGATCTGCTACCCCTGGTTCTCTTCTGCTTGGGGAGCCAGTAAGTGATCCAACCCTTCTGCAGCTTTCTGGAACAGTGGCAGGGCATTAGCAGTGGACCAAGCCCAATTTTAATAAGTGTTCTGTTTTGGTTTTGATTTAGCTTTAAAAGGAAAAAATAATAAAGCTCTTGCTGTACTGGAGCCTAAACTGGCACATCCGCACAGAAACTGAGTAGAGGACAAGAGCCATTCCAACAGCAAATGTGTTTCAGCAGCCGTGGTGATAAGAAGTAGATGTGATAGATAATAACGTAAATATGTACGAGAACTTTTCTCTGTAGTCAGTTCTTGATGCCTGCGGTTTGTCCGTGGTGCTCTAACAAAACATGAGTTGATTGAAGTCTGTTAAATGTGGATTGTTGAGAGTGAGCAACCCTTTACCACTTGAGTGACAGAGCTGCATAGCTGAATTTTCTTTGTTTTTTATTATAAAAATGACTGTCCTGTGTACAACTTTATATGCGACTTTTTACAATAAATATTTTTAGGAAAAAGCAACAGAGGAGCAGAAACTTCCTGCAGTTTTTTTTCCAGCTTCATTCTACCATAGAACAAAACTGTATTGCAGCAGGAAGGCTGCAGTGAGTGCTATGTGATGTTTTACCTCTTGAGAGATTCCCAAGTGGGTATGCAGAACTGTGCTGTTGTTGAAAGGATTGAGTTTTTTTGTTTGTTTAATTATTAAAAGTGTATGGAGAGCTGTGGGAAACTGACAGTTGAGCACTGTGTGTTTGGGGTGGGAGATGCTGCCTGCAGTAAGATATGTAAATTATGAACAGTGTTTTTCTCAGCACTTGGTGTATCTAACACTTGCCAGCTTTGGGGGAACAGAAGCAGCTTCTTTCATCCTAGAAGAAAATTGTATGGTAAACCTATAGCATAAACAGCAAGGGGCAGCAAGGTAAAACAGAGGTGGACTCAAAAACTGCTGTCCACCATGATGGTTGTGTTGAAAAGTCACAGAAAAACAGCTTAATTCTGGAGCAGACACCTCTTGCTTAAGTCACTGCTGCACTACCTGATCCACAGTTAGGTGGGTCATGACCTAAGAATCAGAAATCCAAACCAGCCCCCAGCAAAGATGTCACTGTACTGAGCGCACAGATCTTGAGGGAAAGACAGCAGGACTGATCAGCTTTGGGGCAAATGTGCTTATATTTACTGTTCAGCTAAGTTTTAGAGCAGCATTTTCCATCACGATTTCTTTGGAGCCAACCCAGTAATCCATCATGCCTCTCTCATGAACCAGTCATGGTGCTGTGCAGGGGTTCTAAAGGAAGATAATCAGTCACTTGCCCAAAACTGCCATCCTGAGCCTGGCGAGGAGGTTCAGCGTGGTCAGCCACCATCTCCAGGTTATAAACCAACACTGCAATTGCGCACCTACTGGCACAGCGGGAGCAATGGTACTTTGGGACTGAAAGAAAACAAAGTTCTCTGGGGACGTTAGATGGTGGCCATTTGCATGAGGGTCACTTTTGTGAGACCTGAAGTGGGAAATTCTGCCACAGAATTAAGAGTCTCCTCTAGTGCTTGCTCAGTACCAGCATATTTTGCTGCTGAAGGCTATTAGTTACATTGCTGGGCTATGGTTGCAGATGGGCAGAGGTGTCCCCGGCCAAAGGTGGCCTGCACTTTGTTGTCCTGAAAACTATCCTCATTTATAGCTGATAGGAATGTGGCCTTGCTGCCTCAGACCTGCAGCCCAAGCCTGAGGTGGTCCAAGCTGCTTGGGAGTAGCTGGCAATGAAGCATGGCCTTGTGGCGTACACAGTGTTTGTTCCACTCCAGGAACATGCAGCAAAACTGAAGCACTTCTGCTACCCCGACTTGGGTTGATGCAGTCTCTTTCAGCCTCCACAGAAGGAACACACTCCTCCATGACAGTGTTACACTATTCCTTTAGGTGTTGCAAGGCTGTGACTAAGGCCTCCAGAGCCATATCTATCCCTATCTGGTATGAGAAAGGTCAATATAAAATGGCTGAAGCTCAACAAGATGAGCCATCCTAAATGGGCTTTCATTAGGAGATGCTTTGCTTTTCTTCTCGTTTTTCCAAGAATTGGTTTTGAAAGTTTGCAGTGGTTGAATGTTTCTGCCCTGCAGGGAAGGCAGCTGCAAGGCAGGAAGCTGACTGTACTTCTCAGGGTATCTTGGCCTCTTTGAAGTGTTCAGAGATTTTGCACAGCAGAACACACGCCAGGGGATGGAAGCTTTCCAGAATGAGCACTATTGTATCCATATTTTTGTTTTCCTTCCTGCAACACAAGCATAGAAGATTCTCCCAGCACGCCCAGGCTGCTCAAAGGCAATGAAGCTCCCATCTTCTTCAGCTTGCACAAATGCCATAAGGACTGCGGTTACCAAGTATAAATCACTGTATTTCATCCCTCTTAGAAGTTTCCTGTGGGCTGGTGAACAAGCTCTGGGCAATTAGCAAGGCCACAAGAACTTGAACATCCTTCTGTATTAATTCAACCAGAGACCTCAATGGGGACTTCATAGCTGGCACAGTTTGCCACAACCAACTGCAGCCTCACATCTGCTCAAGCCTGTTGCCCTTCCCTATGAGCCTTGCTTGACACAGAGCAAGCTTGCATCCGCTTCAATGTAGCATTTCAAAACTAAGGGAAACACAGAGTTCTGCCTAAAATGGAAGGGACAGCTATGAGTATTTCCTACTATTGAATAAAATGAGTCTGGTCCGCAGGGCTGGGCTCTGTTGGAACTCAATGGACCTCTGCTATCCTCCTGACCTGATACTTCACTGTAAACATGAAGAGCTTGCTTCATTTAAGACCCGAGTGCTGTAGGTACGAAGTCAGAACACAGTGAAAAGCAGGACTTCAGGCAAGTGGTATCCAAAGCAGCAACCTTCCATATGTTATTTCAGGACGACTTACGAGGCATTATGTTAACAGCAGTCCATAATGAATGATTCTGGAAATCAACACAAGCAGAGGAGCACTCACAGAAACATCTGAAACACATCCAAAGGGTTTAATGCAGAGAGCACTGGGACCAGGCAGTGTGGCTCTTTTAGAACACATACTCTCATCTCACAAAAGATGAGTTTACAATTTGAAAAGGCACAGTGTGGTGTAGCATGAGGATCTCTACTCTGGTACAGCCTTGAATCTGTCACTGGGACTTGGAACTGCTTCTGAGCTACAGATGGAAGCCATTGATGGCTTTGGATTAAGTTCAATAAAAAGACATCAAACAATGTTGTAAAGATGAGAAATTTTATTTTATTGACATACTATGAGGCAAAACAAAATTGACACCATACAAAATAACTTTATAAAATATCATTCACATCATTATTTTGTCAGGAATTACAGCATTCTGAGCTTGTTACGAGTCTTAATGTTTTGAGGTGAGAAAACACTATGCTAAATCTTTAGTATTAGTTGTATATATACAGTAAGAAACCAAAACAGAAACTGTTAGGTTTTTCATGAGTTTATTGCAAAAGTAGTGCAAACTATTTTACCTTGCAAGCTGTAAAACAAACTTGGAAAAGGACCCACCTAAGCTTAAGAACACGACAATAAATGCTCAACTTCACAGCTTCTGAAGCTTCCTTCAACAGCTGTCAACAAAAATTCCCCACCTCTGCATGTTTTTTAGGTTTTCACTGACTCGGAAACAAAGCAGCAGAAGATGCACCCACACCAGCAAGTGGCCTCAGGGAGCAGGGCACACCGCAGGAAGCAGATCTCCACAAAGCCAGAGGTTGGGAAGCACAGCCGAGCCACCTCAAAACATGGACCAACAGGGCAAGCTCAGGCTGTTGGGCTTCCCTCCTTAATCAGCTGCCTCCTCTCTGCATTCGAAAGAGTCAAGAAAGCGGTACAACAGATTCACCATTCAGAACATCTATTGTCTGTTTTAGGAATACAGTATCCTTTTCCGGAAGCCTACGTAAAGCAATGTCCTCGTGGTCCCCCTCCCATTGCATACGCAATGCAGGGCAAACCCTGTCCCAAGCTACTGCATGCAACCAAGGCAGGACACGACATCCTACGAGCGGAACAGAAGACGCTACTGGGGTCCCCCAAAGCAAACAGGTAGCTGGTCGTCTACTACAAAAACAAAAGCAAACAAATGCTACATGAAAAATGTTAAAGGAACAAAATGCAGCATATTCAGGCTCTTTTTTTTTTTTTTCTTGAGGTACCTATATAAATATTACCTTCTGCCCAAAGTACTATCTGTTCTGTTAAAAAACTAAAGTCCTTATCATGAGCCAATTGTAGGGCATACATTATTATTGAGAAAGTGCAACCATGCTGATAATTTATATGCAGCATATTAAAGGATGATTAGGCTTTAGAAAATATAGCTTAAGTATAGACCTGATGGAGCAGTTTTATAAAAACATTTAACAGAGGCATTTTCCTTTTGTTTGAGTCTCTCTGCAGCAGAAAGCCTTAGGAAACACTTGGAAGTCCTGCCACCACGGAATGTCAGCACTTTTACAATCCCATACATCATTTTTCTTTACTATTTAAACTAAAATACAATTGTACAGAAGAGATTCCCCCCCCTCCCCAACCCCCCATATTAGGTACTGGTAAAAAGTTGATTGATTTTTTCCCAACTTCAAAAAAAGATAGTATATATCACAACTTAAATTTTCCAAAGAGGAATTATTTTTTTTTTAATGTAAAAAAGGTTCACACAGTAGAAAAACCTATACAGAGTTGTAAACTGTTCCATAGAAAACTGTGGAAAAGTCAATGACGTTTTATGCCCTTACCCACATATCCTTCCATTTCATATATAGACGCACGCAGCTGTGCCGTGTATGTATATATATGCATATGGATGGATACACAGAGGTACATCTCTAGGGTTGGGATTATATATATCTCAAAAAGAGTTCTTTATTGGCTATTTCTCTTTGCCTAGTTCTGCTGTGATACTGTACACTTGGATCTGATACCCTGAAAACTAACATTTGCTAAAACTACTTTGCTGCTTTTTTAAACTTTGTGGTTAAAATTCATTGGCTGTTCTTAATCAAGGACACGACCTTTGATTGTTATGCACTGGGAAAAAAAAAAAAAAACAAAAAAACAAACACAAAGGCACGAAGGACACAACTCAAATACAACACTGTTGTCTGTGAAGAAGAAACCCAAAGGGTTTGGGTTGCGGAGGACCGCCTCCACCGAGGGCGGCCGTCACACGCGGTTTGGTCGCTTTTTGCCAATCTCATCTGAGACAATTTGAGTAAATAGCACCCAACTGTTTACATGAGGTAGATCCAAATGGACAAAGAAAGCTGGGTCCCCGCTGCTTGGTTTGCCCCCAGTTCAAATGGTTTAAGGATCAGACATCGGGCGCAGGAAGGGGGAACGGCACTGTCTGAAGCAAGCAGACACCTTGAGAAGAATTTTTCCAACACCAAATAAGTGTTAAGTCGTCATCCTCCTCCAGGCAGAGATCTCCTAACAGGGGGAGGGAGCACAACGCATCCAACACAAATAAAGCTGGGAACTGAGAATTGGGGCAGGCTGCCAGAGCAACGCATCAGCTTCTGCGGGGCCACAATGACAGCCACTGCCTACAGAGGTCGGTCACAGTATAGAGATCTACAGGTTCCCCTTTCCGTGTCAGAGAAGACAACTTTTTTAACTAGTTCAGCCTTACAGGAACATCCTACTCTCATTAAACAGTATTTTTTGCATACTCTGAGAAAATCTGACAAATTTATCTTTGTTTTAAGGCTTAAGGTGGCATCGCCACACAGCATCATGCAAATCTTACGCTACGTCATCAAGATAAACACGACGTATTTTGACTCTCCACACCTACACAGAGCCTCAGCAGTTCTGAGTAACACAGAGCAACACCTCATCTCTGCAACGAGCCCTACAACGCCTCTGATACATTTAAAAGTCAGGTGAGGGTATTTCTACACCTGGATTTTGTATGACAAGTGCCAGTCTTACCCAACCAGCACTACAGCACTGATACACCGCAAGCACACAACATTAATGCAGGTGCAACACAGTCAGCACACACTCAGTACCACTCGAAATGAGACCCTTAACATCTTCGTTTTTGCTTTCAAAATGCTAAAATGGTTATAAAAACATTTTTGTTTCAAGGGAGTGCGTACAATACAAAATTTCTGAATTAATTATTGGTTCTTTTTCCATTTTTTTTATTTTAAAAAAAAAGGATTTGAACCTTAGCAGATGTTCATGAAATCTGCAATGTACCGAATTAAAGGAAAAAGGATTTAATACATTCTGTTCTCTGTCTCATCCCCCCATGATCAGTTAACCACTTTGCTACACAGAAACGTGGGACTGGGTCTGTATTTACAAACAGCCCTCAAGTCTGAGATTTTGTGGTTGCACACCCTCACAAAGCACTATGGAAGCCAGTGAAGTTGTGCTTATTGTTCCCAGCAGAATTCTCCTTCTATATTTTCATATACAAAGAGCCACACTCAGCTTTCAGCAACATGTAGATACACACACACACACACCCTGTGTACACACATCATTTTCCAAGCTGAACCAAGAAATCACACCAAACTGCAACCTTTCAGAACAGCCCACAACTTTGCCAGATGTAGTTTCTGAATTTGTGATTTAGTTTTCCATGGATACGTAATTCTGAACCTTACTCCTCATGTTTTGCTTTTGCTTCCCCCCATATGATGTGCTGCTTTCCCAACAGTCTACCAGTAATTACTCCTTAAGTCTATTTTCTTCTATGAGCAAATTCATACATTATCTCACCCTTTCCTCCATATAATCAAGAAAACACAAACTATTTCTGCTGTCAAACACTAGGTAATAAAGAATGGGCACATACAACAATCTTCAATTTAGAGACATTCTGGGGATTAAACACTGAGAGGTAATTTAAGATCAATTAAAGATTCAAGTCAGGCAGGCAATTGGAGACATGGTATTTAAGATAAAATAACAGCATTGTCACTTGTAAATGAGATGAGAAATTTAAGGTTCAGCCTTACATGTCTAATGAGAAAATGCAGAACAAAAGAACCAGGGTCAGTATTACCTCATTTTTTATAGCACATTAACAGTGGGTTCTGACCATCTCCAGATGATGCAGAATTAATATTAGTGAAATCTGGACACATGCTTCTTTGCCTGTTGTGTCCATACCTGATGGGCTCGACCCCACCTGCTGCCCGTGCCCATACAGCACGAACCACATCTGCTTTGAGTTGTGTGCATGACAAGCACAACCACACAGCTTTACATACCCTGATAAGAACGAAGCTTCCTGTCTGTATATGTGGGAACAGGAAAAGCTGATAAAGATAGAATAGAATCCACATCACAAGCATTTTTCTGATGAGAAATCTAACCAAGGAACCAGAGAGGGGATTAGAAACTCCTGAGCTCGGCTGCTGACCTTCTCACTGCTCATGCTTGCAAAGCACACTCAAAACCAAAATGGAGAGAAACAACTCATTTTTCAGGATCCTAAATGTTTAAATTTATGCTTTAGGGCCAATTTATAAATTTACTCTGAGGTTAAGTCATATCTGTAACTGCTGCTGAGATAGCAGCTATTCCAGCTGGTATTTCAGCTGAGAACAGCACATCCAAAAGGTTGGGGGAGGCAATCTGTGCACACAAAGCTACTATTTACAAACAAATACACCCTTTAACACAGCCTTCTGATGCCAAGTGGAGGCTCTTCAGAACGCTGGGTAGGCTGGTTGGCTGGAGAGCTGCCACAGGTAGTTTAAGATGCATCTGTTGAGGCACTACAGGGACAAATTCTAAATAGTTATTCTTCTGAAGATGTTTAGAAAGAAGGAAGGGAGCAGCAGCCACTCACATTTCTAGCGCTGCCAAGTGCAAAACTCCAAGACCAGCTCCCACCAACCTCTCACCTGCAAATTCAGCATTTGCCCCTGTCCTCGCTCCAACCAAATCCTAAACCCTCTGCAAAACCAAAGGCTGAAAGCAGAGCCTAGCTTCCAGGGGCCTAACCATCAACACTGCCCTTTTGGGGTAGGGGTTGTGCATAGTGTTTCACTTTGCCTTATTTCCACAGAGGACGGGGTAGCTGCATGGCACACATGGCATTTCTCAATATTAGACATCCAGTGCTGGGCTCCTCCTGATGCTCTTTCAGGTTTGCAGACATTTCTATGAAGCACACAATGTTTCTCTCATTGTTTTGTAAGGTTTTTCTCACAGAGAAGTAAGTTCAGTGCCCAGAAACCTCTTTGAGGCCACAGCAATGCCAATAGTGTCTGTAGATTCCTAACTGCAAGACATAGCAAAGTATTTTCTGGAAGGAGCCATTCCCCCTCGAGCAAAACACTTCATGCTTTTGCAGGGAGCCCTGTTAAGTTATAACAGCAAATGGGATAGAGTGTTTAGGACATCATCCCTCAGTTATTAGATTAACTTATTTATTCAGTCACTCACCACTGCTCAACAAGAATTCTTCCACAAACCAGAACATCAGCAATCATCCCTGCCAGAAATAAGCATCATTCCCATCTGTGGCCAAAGATGAAGACATTGAAGATAGCAAGCAATCCTGGGCTAACTTCTTTCTGAAATGCTAATTTCCAGAGCACAAAGCCCCTAAGCTACAAGAGTGCTATGAAAGCACACCAGCACACTGAGCCCAACCAGGGAGCATTTCTGTCAGCAGAGTGGCTAATTATAAAATGAAGAAGCTTGTTTGGATGCATTGTAAAAACAGTGATGTATTAACACAGTTTTCTACAGTTTCTACTCAGGTTATTTAAAGCACCTTTAGTTGGCATGCGCTTACTTCAGGACTGAGTTACAACTGAGGCTTTGCACTGATTTGACACACCAAGCAGTCACAGCACAAACAATACTCCAAATCTTTTTTTTCCCCTCCATTTTAAAGTTTATCAAATGTGGTCTGAGCAGGGAATAAAGTATTCTCAACATTACAGTCTCACTTATCCAAAAAGCATTAAAAAAATACTCATGTATATATATTTTACCTCAGATTCAAAATATATTTTCAAGCACCTTCATGTCATTTGCAATGAAAACATGATGATAATTTTTAAGCCAACAGCTAAAGCATGAAAAGGTTTCTCATCTGGAAACGACAGTATACAAACTCAGCAAAAGAATGGGCAGAAGGTAAAGGGACTGCATGGAAGCAGGCGTGCTGGATGAGATCTGCCTTGCTAGTTCTGAGACTTCAACAACCACTTTGGCATGGACACATCAGGAAGACATCCAAGATCACAGTATGGCACCAGCAGCTCTCCAGCAAGGAACAAAGCACTAAGAATACAGTTGATCTGGGAGCATTTTAGCTGCTGTAGTAGGTTCACTTTACAAATTAATTTATCTGCAGAGGAACACAGGAGGTAGCCTTGAACTGCATCTGCTTGCTAACTAAGAGTCCTATAAAAACACCTTTTGTAGTGATTTGGCCAAGCCATTACATTCATATTAACACTTCAAGCAACAAAACAACACAGGAAAAGCAACTGAAGCATAAAACTGACTGCGCACCACACCACGTGCACACTGCAAACCTCATCTCCATCAGGCTGAGAGCATCTTTGGAGGGATGCACCTTTCCAGTCACTAACCCACTGGGAACAAAACTTGCTGTTCTGCATCCCAGCATAGTAACTTCCACCCCAATTCCCCATTATTCTACTAATTCTGCCGTAGAGCACAGAGATTGGTTCTTCTCAACACAAGCCAGGAATCAAATGCTGAAAGAAGCCAGGAAACACGTGAGAAAGCAACTGTGCCCTTGGATTCATACCAGAATGCAAACCAAGTATAACATCAGTGAAAAACCAAAGCTCTTATCTCAGTACTGTAAAATATGGCAGTATTTCTACAATGGAAGTACAAGGACTGAGATCCACAGCGTTTCAAGATCTGCTATACAGAGCATTATTTACAGTATTTTGAAACAGCTACAGCAGATGCCAAAAAAGTCTTACAGTAAAAAGGGAGATTAAAAACAATCAGTGCAATTACCTCCTACTTAAAGTTCTCCTTAGAAAAGACTGCAAGAGTGCAAGAAGAAGCCCATTGCCAAATGTAATATAAAAGTAAAAAAATGTATTGTTCTGTATTAGAAATTGAGAAAGCACACAGGTCAGGACAAACACACACACACACAAAGAGAGGTTACTGAAGGAGAAGAGTATTAAAACAAATAGGAAAAGTTAATTTATTACACTGGTATCAAGTGTGACTAACAGAACTTTTTTACATTCCTTTTTTCCATGTAAAATGTATCTGTGCCACCAGAAATGCTTACTGGATGACACCAAGATGGCCCCATCCACACCTGCTCTTCCAGCACAAGGAGAAGTTTCCAGTACAGATACTCACTATTATGAAAAAGACTGGGGCTTTTAGAGGAGAGATGCATGTGACCATTTATTGCTGCAGTAAGGAAATAGTGTTGGCAGCAGCGTGCAAAGCACTCCATGTCCCAATCTGCTTTCAATACAAAGTCTCTTTGTGCAAGCACATGTGACTTCTGATAAAGCTTCAAAAGCATCTTAATGAGGAACTTCCATCTTTTCATAAGGCTACCTGGGCACTGAAGAACCTCAAAGTCCACAACTACCCTTCAAAAGTCATTTCAAATCTTTGTGACAGACCTAAACGTGATGAAATTGACCAAAATTCCTGCAACATGGAAGATCAATGACTGCCACTCAGCAATCCAAATCTGATAGTTCGAGCACTCTAACTTGAACCAAATCAGAAGAAGGAGTTCTAATATACAGAAGTGACCTTACATCAGTGCATACAGACTAGAAGTGTTAACGTTGCATAGGGCCATCTGAAATGCCAAAATCATGTAAGGCAGAGACAAATTCACCTACTTCCAACGTTTCACATTGGATATTTCCTCCTAAGCATTGACTCAACTCTATTTCCCAGGTGGTATAAGATGCAGAGTGGATGTTCCATTCCATTGAGCCACTGGAGCAGAAATTTCTAAAAATAAGCAATACTGTATTACATCCAGTACATGAGAAAAGACAGCTTTATAATTTATCTTTGTTAATGTGGGGATTGTCACAGAACCTTGTGCTCTGAGAGGGCTCTTTGGGGATGCCCAGTCCCATACCTAGCCAAGTCTGAGCCTCTCCAAAGACAGAGATTCCACAACCTGCTTCAGTACTGGAGTATTTTCTTTCCTATAGTGTTACCATTTCAGTACAAACTCCAGAAGACAAATCCATAGCAACTCATTAATAGCTGCCCATCTCTCAAGCACATTCTTTTAAAGGTGAGCTGCTCTGAAACAAAATAAATGCTGCAGTACTGGCATCAGTTTGTCCATAAGGGTGCTCCTGCCTGCAATGAGAATAGATATTTTTGTCACCAGGGTGCAATCAGTATCAATTTTCAGACTGTTAAGCACCGCGATAGCTTGCACCAACAGCTGAATTCAAGCAGAAGGTCACTGCCAGGAAAATAACAGAGAGCACAAGGAATGCAATGGAAGAGGTCCTGCCCAGTGCTCTTTTGCAACTGCAGTCACACGACTCCTTTGCATGGGCTCAAAACACAACTGTCAAAGGATAAAATACATTTGCTTACTGCTGGCCTGAGCTGCGCAGTGACTCAGTGGTTATAACTGCCAACCCCAGCTACAACTTCGACAGCAGGAACGCGTGCGAGGCAGAGACACCTTGAGCTCTGTGTTTACCTGAGGTACTGCTGTTCTGACAAAACACGTGGGAGGTAAGCAAATAATACCAACTGGAAGGTTTGAGGTGTTCGGTGGTCCCCCCCCCAACCTCTTCTTCTTCTTTTTGGACAGGAAATACTTGGAACATTAGGAATGCTGCCAGAAAGATAAGCTTCTGGGTTTACAGCACACTGTACTTTTCTACATGTGTACTTCATCAACGTTGTTTTAGAAAAAGGCTTCAAATAATGTTTATTCACCAGCTGGGGGAAAAGGGGCAGCAAGAGAAAGGAGGGAGAAATCAAGCTGTAGAATCGGCAGTAAGAGAAGATGAAAAAAGTCAGTGAAAGGCAGAAACGTCTCCAGCCTGAAATGCATTAACCATCCCAAGTTCTTCACACTCAGGAAAGGAAAACTACACAGAAATCTCTGTTCATTCCAAGAGGACCCACAGATGACGGCTACTCTCAGATCAAGAGTCCACAGCTACTATGCCAGCCCAAAGAAAGCATCCATCAGAGGCAGGGAGTGCCGTGACCTGCTTCAGAAATAAGATTTGGGGTCAAGACAGCTTGTCTGTCCTCCTTATCCCATCTGTCCATCTGCACAAAGTCAGTTATGCCAGAAATGCACAGAGAGGGAAAAGGAGGACGAAATTCACATCCAAGAGGTCTCCACATAACAAGCAGCAAATAACATAACTGGAGTTTTAAAATGCTTGATCTTTCTTGTATTTGTTAAGAGTAATTCATATAAAAATAAATTCATATATAAAACTCTGCCGAATTAAAATCTGAAACGCATTAAGCAAACACACAGAAGTGCAACGTGTCAACTGTGGAAAAGCTTCTGCAGGTGAGCAGTACGTGTAAGGGAGGTACGTACAGCCTGGCTGCTGGAAAATGGGAAGACAGACAACGCGACGTCGACTCTGCTTTCTGTTATACTGTCTATCATTTAAAAGCTAGATTCACATCATGAGACAAAGGTCTGACCTGGCAGGCTGGCCAACAAATGAGAACAACACAAACACAGTTCATCTGCCAATAGGATTGACATCACTGTCTCACCTGAACAACACCAACGTGCTGCTACAAGGTGATGCTTGAAATCTGCACTGAGTTACGTACCTAGAACTCTTAATGCAGCAAAGGTTGGGCACATCCTAGCTTACTGAGCAAGCAGCCAGCTACAGGCTCCCTGCTGCATGGCACAGACCTCTGCCTTGGTTAAAGCTCCTGGCCCAGCTCAGCAGCTAGAGGTATATGGACTCACAACAGTGACTGAGCATCTGCTAAGAGAAAAGGGGAAAGACAAAGCAAAATGGAAGAGAAGGACATCTTTTAAATACACGTTGAGAGGGTGGATTTTAAGCTTTCCTACGAAAATAAACTAAAACAAGTCAGCATAAACACATTTCCTGGGCTTTTTCCTTTTTCTTCTACACCTGCTTGTGGCATCATCATTAGTGCAATGGTTTTCATACGTACTACGGTTTTTAATGAACCCAGTGTGCAAACTAACAGAAGTGTTTGTCTAATAATTATCAGTTAATTAATGCTTCTCCTAAGAGAACGGCCAAACTCTCACGTTTACTTTTATGCATAATGAAGGTTTCACCTCCCTTCCTAAGTAAACTTCAGTTTCCTAAGATTTACCTTTACTGCATAGATTCTCTGACTTCTGTCCACGCGACAAACATCAAACCACTTCCCTCTCTTAGAGCTCCAGCTTCACCAATAATCAACACATAAATAAAATACAATTGCTTGTGCTTGGATGGATGCAGAACGTTGGTCTCGTGTGCGTCTTTGACTGCACAGGTAAAACCTGCTACGTTGTGTGTGCACTTTGAAAAGCCTTTCTCCAAAGGACAGGCTACACAATGTCCTCTGTACGCAGCTCTGAACTCTCGCATCAAAGTCAATTGCATATTTTTGCTTTTGAATAGTAATGTCCTCACGATAAGGTTTTAATTTCTAAATCCAAAGCATTCTTGATATGTTAACAGAAGTATAATGAGCACTCCTTAGTAAATAAAAATAAATAATAGCATCTAGTCTATCACATTAATACTGTGAAACACATATAAAATTTACATTAATTCAAACATAACAGTGAAAGAGGATTGTACTGTATTTATCACCACAGACCCGTATTCCTTAGAGACTTTGGAGAGTGTCACAGTCCTGTATGACAAATTCTAAAGTTAGCTGTCAGTATGATTTTAAAAAAAAAAAAAACTTCAAACTCTTTTTCTTTTCTTAAAAATGGCACCTTTTCTTTTGCCAATCTGACTGCACCTATTAAAAGTTCAGGTACAAGTTCATTCATTCTGCTTTAAAATTCTTCTTTAGTCTATGAAAAACATTTTTAAATGCAGCACAATAAAAAACATTCAAGAACAAGCTTCAGAAAATACATTTGCCCTTAGACACGCAGAGAAAAAATCTTTGTAAGACAGCTGGAAAGCAGAATTTTGTCACTCTTTTCTTTTGAAAATAAAACTTTTGGAAATGCATCTAGAATAAAACCAAGGCTTCATAAATAGTCAAAAAATGCTTTGCTTTCCTTTGTATTAAAAGCTAATTCGCAGCATTTTAGCCCATTAACTTTAGTACGAATTAGATCTCTCCAAATTATTAAAAGCAATTAAATGAATAGCAAACAATGAAGAGTTTTGTGTTTTGTTTTTTTCCCCTAAGCCCTGAGATCACAGCTCTTGATTTAATTATAAAATATGGGTCTGTTTTATAACAGGCAGCTTAAGAGATTTTGGCAAACCACATTTCCAACAATCGTGGGGCTTTGTAGAAGAATGCAGTTCATAACCAAGTCTGAAATTCTGGACGGAAGGCTTTCTTGCAAAAAGGGGGGGAAAAAAAAATGAAGATACATCACTCATTGCTGGCTGTCACTGGAGCTTGGGCAACTGTTGGTCTAAGTGCAGCTGGTCTCATGTGAATCCAACGTGGTACTGTACTGAGTCGCTAAACATTAAAACATGTCAAGCAAAGTACATCGTGCGCAACGTGTCCTGGTGAACCTGAACTGCTTTTGCAAGTGCTTGATGATCTCTGCCATTACTCTGACCCGAAGTGTGACTGCCTTCAGCACTGAAAGAGAACGGGGGGAGAGGGGGGAAGAAACCATATTTATTCTGCCTCTCCTTACATGTACGGTTTTCATACCCTTCCTTTCTTCTGAATAGACTGGTCAAAAGCTCACAGACTCACAGAATGGCCAGGGTTGGAAGGGACCTTAAGGATCATGAATCTCCAACCCCCTGCCACAGGCAGGGCCACCAACTTCCCCATTTAATACTAGACCAGGCTGCCCAGGGCCCCATCCAACCTGGCCTTGAACACCTCCAGGAATGGGGCATCCACAACCTCTGTGGGCAGCCTGTTCCAGCACCTCACCACTCTCATAGTAAAGAACTTCCCCCTGACATCCAATCTAAATCTTCCCTCTCTCAACTTAAAACCATTTCCCCTTGTCCTGCTGTTATCTACTCTTTCAAAGAGTTGATTCCCCTGCTGTTTGTAAGCTCCTTTTAGGTACTGAAAGGCTGCAATGAGGTCACCCTGCAGCGTAACAAGCCCAGCTCCCTCAGCCTGTCTTCATAGGGGAGGTGCTCCAGTCCCCTGATCACCTTTGTGGCTCTCCTCTGGACCCTCTCCAACAGCTGTCTTTCTTGTACTAAGTTAATTCCCCTTAAAACATTACTGAAGTTCTGAAATGGAAAAACAGCAAAGAAGGATACATGAACACAACACCTCTTTCTTCTCTTTCCCCTCCCTGTCATCCCCCCATGTATTTCACTGGAGAAAAAAAACAAACAATCTGCCCTCCAACTGCTAACCAAGGATGCTGCTGATCCCAAACGCCCATTTCCTTCTTGTTTCCTGTCAAATTCTATAGTAATCCAAAGCCATGCAACTCACCTGTCATGTTCTTTATCCACCAGATGATACCTGGCTCTGAAGGCAACCAGGTGCGCGTAATATGCTGGTGCAGGGATGGAAACAGAACGAGTACAGCGTACGTACGTATGACACAGCTGGTAGGTAAGAATCTGCAGCTCATCTGAAGAGAAACGATTGTCATCCCAGAGGACGTGGTAATGTGAAGGTCTGCTTGTTCCCTGCAGGCAGATCACACACACAACATCAGCATGTCAAAAACAACTCCTTACATTTCCACCTCTGAGGGTGAACTGCCACAGAACTGCCTACTTCCCCAAAGTTACGTGGGAGCAATTCAACATAGTAAACTGAAAGCACAGCGCGTGCTTCCTGCCTGTTCAGGTTCATTTCTTTTAGATGTTAGCAGTACAGGACAAAGCAGAAACACAGAGGTTGTATGATTTGTCTCCTGTGTAAACAACACCAGGAATACCAACAGCCAATGCTATGTTTGAAAGTTACCACCCCATGCAAATGCTGTACCTGAATACCAGCGTGACTACACAGGTAGAAGTCAAACTCTGATGGATGGGTGATTTTTGTGTCCACTGTGGTACCAGCTGGAATGTTCCCACTTTTTCCAACCTGTGTGAATGGTACATGCAGATTTATTAATGCACATAAACTTTCTTCTTTTTCAGCTGTATAGTAAGGGCAAGAAACATTTTAAAAGAATCTGTAAAAAGCAGGAAGTCAAGAAGGGACAACTGAAACTAAAATTTGAAGCATCACTACAATTGAGAGGAAAAAAAAAGAAAGAAAAGAGATGAGCTGCAAAATCTTCCTTCAGGTTATCTATAATAATGAGTTTTTCTGATTAATGCAGAAAGAGCTTCCCACAACTGATCTGACAAACACTTCTCACCTTCCCATTCTCTGACAGAATATTCCCCCTTAAACTGTCTTGTTTATACCTCCAGAGGACAGTCTGTGCTTGGAAGTAGAACTTACAAATACCTTTTACATTAAAACAATTTTAACCACATTCTCAATATACAAAATGACCTTCATGTCAGCTTTAACAGTAATTAACGCCTTCAATTGCTGTGGGCTTCCAATGCTCACACAGAGATTCCCAGCAGCAGGAAAAAGAACTGAAAACAAATGCTGCATTTGAAGAGAGGTTTGCAGTTGGGAACTCTTCATTTCCAGCAATGACACCATCCTTGCCCTGGGGAATCTCCTCCCCACCAGGAAAGGGCAAAATACTTCCACATGTACTTTGCAAGAGACACAATGGTGACTGCAATGAATTCATAAAACCATTTGAGATGTGCACAGATACAAAATCACATGCTGACTCAATACTCCCAAATCAAATCACTGGTGTCCAAGACACATCTGTCTGCCTTACACACAGCATTAAGGAAAGAGCTCATCTCACCTAACAGTTTCTATTGTGCAGGTGTCCCTATCTCCACCAGCTACCCAAAAGTCACTGTACATCCAACAGGAATCAAAACCCACAAACACTCCCTACTTTAGAACTGGACTAAGCATGCCTTAAGCACTGTTGGAAATACTGAACAGATCTCTCTGCTTACAAAAAAGAGTGCCTGACATTCCTAACTTATAAGCTCTATACTGCTAACCTAGCAATCCCTTCGTTTAAGTGTCTCGAGAAAGTAAAAAACTGAAAAGAATGAAGAATTTGAGTAACATCAAGAAATTACAAGCAGACTTGTTGAACAACATATCCTCTTGCTGTTTCATAAAAGCTTCTTGCTGGTTTATTATATGGGAAAGAAAAAGAACATTTTCCTTACCAGGCAGAAATATTTTACCCACTACGTTACACAGTTCTTTAATCACAGCAAACGTTTCATACTGGGGAGCTTTTTCCTGTAGGGGAGCTACAGGAAAGAAAGGGCAGACTCTTTAGCAGGGCCTGTGATGACAGAACAAATGGAAATGGCTTCAAGCTTAAAGAGGGTAGATTTAGGTCAGATATAAGGAAAAGTCTTTTACAGTGAGGGTGGTGAGGCACTGGAACACGGTGCAGAGATCTGGTGGATGCTCCATGCATGGAGACATTCAAGGCAAGGCTGGATCAGGCCCTGGGCAACCTGACTGAGCTGTGTGCATCTCTGTTCACTGCAAAGGACTGGACTACATGGCCCTCAGTGGCCCCTTCCATATAGCATATAAGCAATTTGGCTGTGATCTAGATATCTGCCAGTCACAACATGAACATACCCGCTCGTTTTTATCTGTACAGAAGAGTCTGGTGTGATGCCTTTTCTGCACAACTATAAATGTAATTCCAGGCTGGTAATCCTTCTCTAGTTTAATACATGCTTCTCTGATAGCCAGCAATTCATGATGGAGAACCTGAATCATAAATACAAAATGTGTGTGATAAATACAAAAAAAAACAGCTTTCAGATTAATCTCATATCATGCTCCCTCTTGCACTGTCATTCAGTTATGAGATGTCAAAGCATGCATGATCAAACCTCAGATTCTTCACTTAATGAGAAGAAATTAGCTCATCAGCTCAGACTAATAAGCTATATGTCAAAATCTTTTTAACTGCCAAATACAAATTAACATGTAATTAGGCTGCTGAATATTCAACAGACTAATTATTTTCCAAGCTAGTAAAGGGGATCATATCCAGAACTGTTCAAATGCATGCTTTTCTCCAGCTCTCTGAAGTCACTTACAGTGCTACAGGGATCAAAAAGAAGTGAAAAAAAGCTGAGCGCAGTGAACAAAAAAACAATTCTTTAGGATTTCTGCTAATTATATGAAAACATTTTCCCCACTTATCTTGGTCGGAATGCAAGAAATTGGTAGATGTTCATTTCTACATAAAACCACATCTACTACCAGGAAACAACAGAATCCAAATCTCAAAACGAAACGTAACCTGCTGAAACTGCCCCTCAGAAACTCCATCTCTGTAGAAAATGATACGAGTCGGTTTAAATCTGGTTGATTTGTAGAACTGAATCAGCAGCTCCCTGACCATGGCAGCCAAATCTTGGATGATTTCTTGGCGGTGCTGCTGGACCCGAACAGTGGCACAGTAGCGATTGGGGTGAGCATCCATGCTTCCTACAACCTGTTGGAAAAATAAAAATGAAGATCTTAATATGGCAGCAAACATGAAAGCAATTGCTTTGTCTATTTATTCAGTAGTAGCACTAAAACCTTTGTTATTAAATAAGGCAGAGAATCCTATATTTAACATAATTGCTTCACAGTTTCTGCCCAGTAGCAGATCTGGGTTTGGTGGCCCTGCTTGTGGCAGGGGAGTTGGAGCTTGATGATCCTTCCAACCCAAGCCATTTTATGATTCTATGAATCAGGAAGCTCAAATCCCCCCAGAACCACAACTGAAGCAGACACATTCCTGCTTAGCTCAATTCTTAATATTTTTAACTGCTGAAAAAGCAGATTTCAGCATGCGCCAGCTTCTTACAGGTCGATAAATACCAGCTAATAGAAAAGCTCCTCAGTGTATTAGCATCTCAGGCATTTTACAACACAATACACACATTTACATAATTAGCAGCAGAGCAAGCTCTCCAAAGTTTCATTCGATTCTGCAGAAAAATAATTTAGAACACTATAAATGGGCAATCAGAAGAAATGGACCACGTAAGAACTGCGAGTAATAAAATGCTTCATAACTGAACAGTGGAGAAAGCAGGAGTTAACCACACAATGTACTCACTGCAGCAATGGAGGGCTTTTTTCCATCTCCAGCTGGAGGATGGGTTACATCTGCACCAAGGAATATGACAGGCTGTTGGAATACTGGTGGTCTGTATGAAGACAAAGCTAATTTGTAAAAGCAGCAACTTTTACACTTCATAAAGTGCATCAGAAGTCAACTAAACAGCACATCCTACTGCTGCAATGCATTAGTCTACAACTTACAATGGATCAGACCATTGCCTGCACTGTGACAGTACTCACATCACCATCAAACTTCTCATGCTAGATACAAAATGTTTAGGCATATTTTTTAAATAGCTTCTCGTTAAAAAGGAGCAAAAAAAGGTTTTTTTTATTTAAAACTTGAAGAATCACATCTTCCCTTAATTAGAACACAAATAAAGATGACAAGCTGCTCCTTAAGTATCCAATACTATATGAGAAAAGTGAAGAACTGCACACATACACAAAAGGTTACTTTTTCTACAAATGAAAGTCAGCATCAGTAAGTAAGTATAAAAAACATGATTATCATAGCTATTGATCTAGAAACAGAACTTTTAAGCTGTATTTCCAAATCAAATCAAACCTCTAAGATATTGGTCTCTTGCATCAAAATAGAACATTGCACTGGGAATGTTAAGATTCAACTTTATTCCTTAACAAAACAATGTTAAATGGGAGACTTCAGGGCACAGGAATTGTGTGTGTATGTGGGTGGATTGGGAATGGTTATATAGACAGATTCAACTGATTTCTGGCCTGCTCTCAAAAGGAATTTGAAGGTAATTCTAAGTGTAGCTGCTTGCAACCATCATGCAGCTCAACAAATAAAGGGCTCTTCTACCCAACAACCAACAAAATGGTCCAAGCATTCCATTTAAAAAAGCCCCAAAGATGGGCTCCTCTGAAGCATTTAGGCACTGTGTGCAGTTGTGCTGTTCCTCCTCTCCCTCTTTACTGACCTCCATTTTCAGGAACATACAGTTTATTGGTATATTGAGTAAAGTTGAGTACATTCGGTGTAAGAGGATTTATTGAGACACAAAAATATATCTCCCCTCTGATGATGTGTTTCCCTGCTGCCAAGTACTTGTTGGATTATTTCTGAGCAGCTGCCACCTGACTAACCTAAATATGGTGAAGTGAAAACTTGCTTATCTGTGCAAAACAGAATGTCTCTGAAATGGGATCCTAAGAATGATGCAGCAGTTACTCCATAGGCTCTCTATAACTTGAAATGCAAGGATTGTTAAAAATGCTGTTTTTTCACTCTAGTAGAAACCTAACACTTCACTTTGATTACAGTAACTGCAGTAAGAGTGTATGTGCATGTATACTGACTGCAACATTACCAGGAAATTGTAAGGCAAATCCTGGAAATCAGTTAGTTTTCTGCTCCCAATTTCAATTGCTTTTCATGTCTACTGAAACTGAGATGTACACCAAGATGAACAATCCTGAACACAAATTATAAAGGAGAGGACACTACTTTGAAAGATGTTTTCTATTTGTTTGAAAACTGAAAGCAAAAAGACTTTTTTCAACTCAAATGAAAGCCATACAGTTTCAATAGGCAGGCTGCAATACAAACTTGTCTTAGAACCAATTTCAACTGGAACAAACATTCCACTACATTCTTTGTAACCCAGTTTTTGCAGGACTGCATTAAAAGCCAAAAGACAGCCTGACTAAAGATCACTTAGACTGCAGTGCTATTGACTATAGGGGAAAAAAAAAAGTTCTGTGATGCATATTCCCTTTACAATACAACACACTTCTCCTCTGTGAAAGATGGCTTACCTCCCCTGTGGCAGTAAAATATTATTTACACCTCCTAATTTGACGTTTATTTTTAAGCAGAGGTTAGACAGAGTCTGAGGTGTTGTTCTCTGCACATTCTTCATCTGAACACACTGCGTAGCCATTCCCAGCACTGTGTCACCAACACGCTTCACCTCCGCTGCAAAACAGAAAAGACACAGAGATACTTTTATAGTACAGATCAATGCACCAGACGTTGGTTTATTGACACCTAGAGATTCAGTACTCATCTAAATGAAGAGGAAAAAAAGAACAAACCTACTTCCCTGACCCAACCCCGCTCTCTAAACATCCTCCTCCTGTCCTGCTTCCATCCACTGACAACACAGCACCTGGGTCCTAAATGCAACCAAAGGCATTGGTGGTTTATTTGAACTTTCTTCTGAAATTACACTAATTGTGTCAGAATTATAGTGTGTCACCATAATTGTGGAAAAATCTTCAGCAAATGAAGTCAGGTAGTATGGATAATATTAGACGGTGAGCAGTTCTTTCATTATTAAACTCTGGACGATTAACTCAAAAATGGTATTAATGTGCCAACATTCAGCCAACCACGAACATTACGTCCCTCTAGTTTATCAGCTCATTAGCTTTAACCCTGACTTGCACAAAAAAGGACTTTTTGAGGAGATTGAGGAGGAGAGACAAGGCCATGTGCATAGGAAATGCAGGAGTATGGAAGAACACAGGGTGAAGGATGATGATTAGAGGAACACAGAGAACCATAATTAAAGATGATTACAAGGAAAGTAGATGGGAATGATACCACATCCTCTCAGTGGTTAGAAAGAAGAAAGCATCCCCTCTAAATGTGAAGCAGGAACAGTACAAGATGTCATTTCACACTGCAGTTCTATTGACCAAATTAGAGACAAGCAACCTTATTTGGAAGGTTGAAAACAAAAAAGAAAAAAACATTCTTTACTTGCAGCTTTTTTCACCTCTCTTACTTTTGACTTTCTATCAGATAATCTTTGGAAAAATAAGAGTTAGGAGCATATTTTCTGCTATATTAAATTGGTGAGTGTGAGGGATGGGATGAGGGAAGATGATTCTGCAGCTGCATGGTACAGACGGGCTGAGATCAGAGCCCTTGAAGCTATGGGAGAAAACAGCGGATGGTTTATGGTGCTACAATTAGGCAGGGTAAACTACAAGAGGAGGAAGGCAGGACATGAAAAGGAGCAGTATAGGAAGAGCTCATTAAAAGCAAGATGTGTGGTTTGTCTCAAAAATTAAAACCTATGTGTACGTGCTGTGTAAAATGCACCTATGGTCAATCCGTCTCCAAGAGCTGCTGAGTTTTCACCCACAAAATTCCATGGGCAGAAGCTTTCTACTTCATTCAGCTTCTTCTGCAAAAGGCTGATGGCATGAGTAAGCAAAGATGTCCTAAAAGCTAGGCAGTTTTTAAACTAATTTCTTCTTTACTCACTCAGAACTTTTAGCATGACAGTAAATATATTTAGAACTGCAGTAAGTATATTTTAATCAACCACAGAACAGTTCAATCAATTTCTCTAAAGCTCTGATTTTAGCTTTTCTGCTCACAAAACGTGTATCAAATAAACCCAACTGGAAGAGCAAATTAAAAGCACAGTCAAACATAATGAAATGAATTAAGGTATTAATAGAAAACATCATGCAGCACAAGAAAAGGAGTAAATTTAATCTGTAGTCAATTAGACTTCCATCATTCAGATAATTCAGTGAAAAATGCCAGAAACTGTGATTAAAACACAAGCTCATGATTTGGCACTCACTGACCATAAACTGGTGTTTTTCCTGGTAAAATTACTACAACGAGCTGCAGTCCGGTGTAAGTGTTCTTGAGATGCCTGAACATGGGCTCCACGCTGTCAGCTCCCTGGGCATATTTACAGAAGCATGGCTGCCCTTGGATTGGCATTCCTGCATCTCTGGAAATCTTCCTCAGTTGTTCTGTGAAAGTCCTAAAGGATTTAAACAGACAGTAGGATGTAAAAGGTAACGTTTCCAGTGTTTTCTCACCAGTTGTTAGGGAAACATTCTCAAGCTGTTTGGGAAATCGTCTAAAGGGGCATCATTATGGCAATACCATTGTGATGAATAACTATGAACCTGCATTCACCTGACAAAGAACAGCTGAGTCACCAGCTAGGGCAGCTAAACACAGCACTTGCCCATGCATGAAGGGAAAGAAACTGTGCAAAAGAATTACAGAAATCCAGCTACATAGGCACACACACTTTCCATGGTCAAAGGATGGCAGATACCACTTTTAACAATAACCTTCCATTTGTTTGTGACAAAAACATAGAAATTTGAAAGCTTCATTTAAATGTTCCAAGTGAACAAAACAAGCAGCTCTACTGATCCTGTAAGCACACCAACGTATGCACTGCTGTGCCTCCAGGCTTGGGCAGAAAGTTGGAGATAAAAGCTGAATTACTTGTTAAAATATTCCTTTAGGATTAATAGCGCAAAGTTATTCCATGCCATATAACATGCTAACTTGTAGGTTAAAACATACAAGTTAGCTTTAAGACTTGACAAACCCTCAGTGATGAATACTCTCCATTAATCATTTTGACCACCTTAAACCCAAACCCAAGGTAGGAGCTTTGCCCTGCAGTACGTGTTGGTTCTGGCAAGTCTAATTTTGAGGATTTCATTATGCTATCGTGGAAATCAGACCTGCATAATTCAAAAGAGCATCAAAAGCAGCGTTAAAGATATACTGCCATATTTAAAATACATATTTTGTTTGACATAAGTCTATTTCTATACATAATAAGTAATAAAATCATCACCTTATGCAATACACTTACTTAAGATGCACCTCAGTGCATTGGCGCTGGGGAGCAAAGCATGCAATTGCCCAAACCTTTATTTCAATTCCAGTGTGAAACTGTTTATTCCTCATGTCCCAAACTCCTTGAACTGGTGTAGCAATTGCTTTATTCTGGGTGTGGAAAGAAAAAAAAAAAACATTAAATCAGAAAATGATTCATACTAAGAAAAGCCATTTATGCTTCCCTCCAACTAGAAAGCTATTTAAGTATCTGAGCTCTTTCTCTACTGCTCAAACACCCATCCTATCTTAGAAAGATCATCCTATCACTGTAACAAAGCAGTCTGCTAGTCTGGTGAAAAATAAAGCTTCTTAAGAAAAATAACTGTAGGAAGCAGGCAATGTTTATTTTTACTGTTGATGATTTTCTTTGGTAATATAAATTAAGAGCAAACAGAAATTATGTGTGGATTAAATCAAAGATTCATGGTCAGTATGTAATGTTAACAGAAACACACATTTCTACAGTGACTTTACAACTGCACAGTGAACTCTCCAAGTGTCACTTAATTCAAGTGCTATCAATACTTTACACATCAGTAAGCAGAGGCAAATGCTGGTTGGGTGCCACTCACACAATTGCAGAAAAGACCCACAAGATGACAAAAGGTGACCCAGTTACTGAACTTTGACATGCATGATCCTTTTACTCCCATTAAGTGGATACTGTTGTGATGCATTGGTAGAACTATCTTCAGCTGGCAATGCATGATCTAGAAGTTCATGAGAAGCCTCCACAAATTAAGTCATCCTAGACACGGAGGCTTTGATCTTGCATCAACAAGACAAGCTATGTAACTGATAAAAACACTACAAGCTTTTTCTTTGCAAGGCAACACAGTAAGATGACCATGTCAGGCAGAAGCCATCTGAAAAGTCACTGTAAAGAAAAACCTGCAAAGTAATACTTCTACAGGAAGAGGCAGTTTTGAGACTAAGAGATGATACCCTAAAATAATCATCCTAACCAGAGTTGCTCCACCCAGAACACTCAAAATCAGAAGTTTCAGAATATTTCAGAGTTGAAATAAGTAAGCAGCATCTCCCAGGGAAGTTTATATAAATGCATTTTACCTTAGCTTTATCTACAGATATAAAGAAGCAATTGAGGAATAAAGAATTATCAACAATGTGGCCACAAAACATAAGGACTTCTAACAATAATACTAAATGTTAAACACTACACCTATGATAACCTCATTATATTCAGCTCCATTCATACAAAGCAATCCGAAGTTAGCACAGCTGGTAATCAAAGCAGTCACATTTTGCTGTGCCTCAACATACCCTGCCTCCGTAGAGGATTGAGGGAGGCTGTAGGACTCTACCAGTCACATCTGTCATTTCATCCTTCACCATTATCCCAAATTCACGAACATAAGGGTCAGTGTTAAAACTCGCACTCCGCATCTGAAATTCAAAGAAATGAGATACAGTTTGCAAAAAAAGAGGACTTTTTTCCATTCAAATCTCAGCTTTTCTGAGATGACTGTATTTGGGCAACAACCTGCCTGTAGTGCACAAACTTCTCAGAACCTGCTAACGGGAACAGAAAGAAAATCTACAACTCCTGCCTTGCTTTTGAGGGAACACTACTTACCAATTTGCTGATCTCTTCCTGACGGTCAGGTGCTGATCTGGCAGTTGCTCGAATCATAGTGGAAGTTTGATTGTCAGTGAGTTTTTTTATGCATCTTTGTCCTGCCACTATGTTGCACACCTAAAAGATCCCCAACACGAAGTTAAAAAGAACGAAACCAATACAACTTTGAGTTCTCCCCACCTCAACTGCTTTACACAATTTCTCGAGTTGACTATTCACCAAACAGTTTGTCAACAGCTTAGCTTTTTTTTCATCCTGACCACATCCCCAGAGTACAGTATTATTTCAAAGCTTACTGACCTCAAGAGGAAGGTATGTGTGTTTCTGCTCCTGCCCAACTTGTAAACATGGAAGGTGAGGATAGCGTAAAACTAATTTGTGCCTGTCCTTAAAATACTGAGCTACAGTGCATTCAACTGTTTGTCCATTCTCCTGCTGAAGTGGGAATCTATGGGAAATCAAACATGAAAATGAGCCATTACTTTATGAAAACACTTTTTCAATTCACTTCTTAGCACATTTTAAGTTTGCTGGAGGTTAAACCCATCTTGTTTAAATGATGCATGTTTATTTCTGTAATCATGAGTATGTCATTACCACTACCTCATGTCATTGAATTATACCCCAGAAGGCACTTCTCTAATTTGATACCTAAAGCTATCAATTACATTTTCTAAGAATGAGTGCCTTAGAGGCAAAGACTAATGTCTTATACCTATCTGTGATACCTGCAGAACTCATTTCACGCTATGCCACGCACAGAAAATTGTGAGCTTATGGTGAGGCACACAAACCCAACAAGCATTTCAGAAATGCATTTCTCTGTACGTTACAAATACATTTCCATATATGCACATGTTTATACCAAGTTGCCACAAATGGTCTTTTCGTTAATAAAATGCATCACGTGAAGGAATAGGAAATTAACTCCAAACAGTTAAATCACATACTGAGATACTGCTGAGTTATTTTATCATGCAACCTGTTACAGGGTGTCCTGTTCTTCTAGTGTTGAAGAAATCCAGAAAGCAAAATGAAAGAAAAGCGCAGATCTAAAATGAAAGGAGTGGCTGAAATGCCATAAAGTGCATTAAAGAATAGAAATAGAACAAAAGAAACAACAAAACTGGGAATAGTTGGAGTTATATTTTAAATTTACTGACCAAAGTACCATTTTGCAAGACAGCTTTTGCCCTGGCTCCCTAACAAAGTCATGACACTCTTCAAGCATAAAACTAAACACACACATAAGAAGTAGCAAAATAGTTTACGTTTGGTGACTTGCTGGTCGTCTGGTGACATTGCACACTCTGTACTTTCTTTTCATTTGTCCACAGTGTGTTATCTCCACCTTTAGACCTAGAAGTGGAAAAACATTTATCACCATTTCTTCAAAATCAAGCTGTCAGTGCCCATAAAACTCAACAAGACTACTCAGACTGTGTAGTAAAGCTAATGACTTTTTAGTGAGTTCTTAGGGAATTGAAGACTATAAAAAAACTTACAACTTTAAAATAAAAAAAAACCCAAAACAACACAATACTGATTCAGCCAAAATTAAACAAAGAACTTCAGAAACAAGGCAAAATCTTAAGGTCATCAGAGCTGAAAAAGCTGGACGTATTCAATTAATTCTCTCTCTTTCTCTACTAAAGTCAGGGATGGTGGAAGGAGAAAAAGGGCATGGAATAAAAAGCATGTTTAAATATTATGTCTAAACACACAGTATCTGTGAGACCTCCAGACAGCAAAACAAACCCTGGGAATGAGGCAGCTGGGCCTCACTGTTAGTGAAGACAAACATCTGCTGCAATCCCCACCTGCACAAAAATGGAGCCTACCTGCAACCCAACAGCTTTCAGAGAGAAGCTAACCATGAAAGTGGAACACTCCCCACCTAAAAAATAATTTTTCCACCCCAGATCAGCACAGCACAGCTACATGAACAGAAGTATTTCAGAACTACCACTAAGCTCAGACATGAGCTTGAATACAGAACTTTCATTTATGTTGCTTTCTTGTTCAGACAGAAACAGGTGTGGGATGACTGCTACATTTAGGATGTTGAATGTGTGGGAACAGAAAAGAGGGGGCTGTAAATTAAAATTCCATATCTATCTGCACATGGGTATAAATTCATACTGCTGCTGAGTAACATGGCATTATTTATGGTATCTGTCAAAGGTGCAAATAACTCGCTGAGCACACTAATCTTCCCACCTAATTTTTTAGGGCTTAAAGTGCCTCTACTACTAAGCCACCAATAAATATCAAGTTTTCACAAGTATTTCTAAAGTCTGCAGCACAATATTTTCCAATAAAACGTTACCTCAGTTTACAATTAGCTTTGCTGCAAACCTGCTATAATTATTTCTTCTTGAAAACTCAAAATCCTTATGGAAAAAAGCTGGCAATAGTGTCTTCTGTTTCACCAGCAAGTACAAAATCAGAATTTCTAATTTTCTTGAAGACTTCTTGTTGGCCAAATACAAGTTTTCAAAATGATTCTGCAGACTTTTTGTGGAAGTAACGATGATGGGAAGCTGCTTCAATACAAGACATTGCTGGAGTTCTTCTTTCACTTCCCTCTTTCTTAGCTAACATATCAAAAAGGAAGGTGTGTTGGCTCTAGACAGGATAGTTAATTTTCTCTAGTGGTCCCTTCCAACCCCTACAAATCTGTGGTTCTGTGAATTGCATCATGCATCACTTATTTCATGTGTTTAAATGCTTTTATCTCAACTCACAAGTCTTACTTTCCCCCTCACCCCCAGTTCTCCCAAACATCCCACTCCAAGAGGAGACAGCCAACAGCTGTGTGTGCTTAGTGCCTGCCAAGTTAAACCACAACAGAAGGACCCTGACTTTCCAGAAGAAATGTTATGGGTAAGAGTTCAGGGAACACCACAAGGAGCTCAATTCCTTCCTACGAGTTTTGATTCATTCACTGCACCATTTGGTAACTGAATAAACTGTGGTGCTCAGGGACATGATTTAGCAGAGGGTTGTTAGAGTTATGGTAACACTGTTAGGTTGTGGTTGGCCTGGATTCTCTTTAAAGTCTTTTCCAACCTGAGCAATTCTAGGATTCCATGATAATATACTTCCTGGAAGAGTACATGTACAAAGTATTATGTAAGTATGTTAAACTACATTACTGATTTATTAGAAAATTTGGATATGGAAGTATTTCCATTAGTAATTTCAAAGAAAATTAAGATAGGGTAATTAGGAACAACAAATGTGAAATCCCAGTCTTGTCAAACAATTTAAAATCACTTGATTAGAAACAGGACCATCTTACAAAACTGGGATTGGCACTACTGACGTGACAGAAATGAAAAAAATGTTTTCTCATTTCTAATTGAAACTTGTATTTAGTGATGGAAGTACTTTCTGAATAAAGTGTAAAGTAGTATTTAATTCCTAAATACAAGATGGAAAAAACAACTGTCATTTAAGAAGATGAATTGTTTTTAAGGAGACTGACATAGTAAGGGATGCTGCACTGAGATGCTCTCAGATGTCCACATGCACAGCTAACTTTGACATGACACTTGATCAAGTGATTAGGTGATGATAACACACAATGAAATGAAGGCTTGACAAGGATGAGAAGCTTTTATATAAATCACAAGCCAGTAATTGATCTCAGGAAACCCATCTGCTAGGAAGTTTGAGTTTACCCCAACACTTAAGAAGAGAGTGAAACATGTCATATTCATGGATTCACTGCTGTACTCTCATTAAGGACACAGGTAACTGAAATTACCCTATACAGGGATTGGGCTAAATGCACACATGTATAGTTATCACATTCTCAGGTAAGTGATAATTTACTTATGTGCACATCTGAACTTAAAACGTGCCTGCTTCAAAAATAAATCATAGAACACCACCAGTTGTAAAGGATCCATAAGGATTACAGTGCTCAGGGACATGATTTAGCAGTGGGTTATTAGAGTTAGGGTAGTATGGGAAGGTTGAGGTTGGACTCTGTGATCTTGGAGGTCTTTTCCAACCTGAGCAATTCTATGATTCTATGATGATAGAGTCCCACACCCATTCAATTAACCTTTCATACAAGTGAATCAAGTCAGAAGACACGTATTTATCTGAACTGACCCAACTTTGGTTACTGACAAAGAAATTGTCAAAATCTTGAAACAAATGCCAATAATGTTTCTTGCCTTTACATTTGTTCAAAAGTGTACATTCACTGTTCACTGTCATAATTTGCTTTTCCCAAATAGTCAACAGCTATAGAAAATCTTCTGAATATATGTTGGTAATACACCTGCAGACAGAACAAAGCAGTTATATTTATTACCTTTTATTTCTTTGGTAAACTTTACCCTTTGGGAATCTGTCAGAGGTTTTTGTTGTTCTTCAATGCTTTTGAAATCCAAAACTTCACATACAAACTCAATAACTGGCTGTGCTTTGTAAAATGCAGTCGCCGATACTGCAGACGAAAACATTAAAATTGTATTACAAAAAAACAGAGGAATAAGTTTTGAAATAAATACAACTGAACGACTGAATTTTTGCCTCTCCATTGAAAGAGAGAGAAAAAAAAAAAAAAAGAGAGAATTGTATAAAACCCACCATCAATGTTTAACATCATTTTCCATAAGGAAGGTCTGACTGATTGATGGAATCCAAACCAAACCTCTCTGCCACCACCTAATGGATTTGAGCACCCCTCAGATGCTGTAAAAAACGATCGCCCCACTGGAGTATATCTGAAAGAGAAGGTAAATCCACATCATAAATTAAAGCAGAAGGTATAAAATACTTATATTAGTTATGACTTTATTGATGCCTATTCAAAAGCACAGAAACATCAGTTTCCGTGCTATAAACAAGCTATAAACAACACCATAAATAATAACTTCTCCCCTTATTTCTGCATGGCTTACCCTGAAATCCATGGAAACACTGTTTTGCTAAACGAGTCACCTAGCAAGCATTGCTGAAGCATCTTTCAACTGCATCAGAATGATTGCACTGGTAATTCAGTACTACACATTTAATATCAAGCATCAAAACCCGTGCTAATGTGTTTCTCTGAATAAAAACGTGTGAATCATTTGTCTCTCAGCTGTTTTGTTTACTGTAAAAGCTAATTGATTCTTTTCCTGAATATGAGAATAAAGTCAATGCAATACAAGGCTATTTAAATATATTTGCATAAACTTCTCATTCCTTTAAAATGAGAAAGTTCAGTAAAGAAATTTGTTCTTTATTTTCCAACTGCATTTAATTTGAACAGTGGTCTTAAGCAAGTTGTTTCATGGCAGCAGATTTAAAGAAACACTGTTTTGACTACAAATACCATGTATGCTGCTTGGACAAAGCCGTTTTAAAGCATTTCTCCTCTATAAAAACTGCTGTACTAAGTGCCACCAATGTCTCTCTTGCCTGATAATACAGAAAATCAGCAATTAACACATGCTGAAGGAACACAGGAATAGGAACTTTTGAGCCATACTTATGTGCTATCTCCCAGCCTCCAATTACTGCCAACTCAGGGAGCTTCCTTCTCAGAAGGATACAGAGAGATGGAATATAGCTGAGGTATCAGGGCACCCCAGCTCTGAGACTACACAAATGTAGAACGATTTTCAGTAATTTTCAGTGCAAAAAGGGACTTTATCAAATGAGAAGCCTCAGAGCTGGATATCACATCATAGAACCGCGTGGGTTGGAAGGGACCAAAAGCTCAGTTCCCATATCCCCATCCAACCTGGCCCTGATGGCCAGGATGGAACACCCACACCTACTCTGGGCAACCTGTTCCAGTGCCTCACCACCCTCTGAGTAAAGAATTTCCTCCTGACATTTAATCTAAATCTCCTCTCTTTTCACTTAAAACCACTGTCTGATAAACAGAGAAGTGCCATGTTACCTCGCCTGGCTCCATGACCTACCAGGTAGCTATTATTTGGTACAGCTGTTCAAGCACATCCAGCCCAAAGTAGCTGCCCAAGCATTTCAGATAATAAGGCAAATTTCCTCAGCAATACCAGTGTCTTCTGCTCACCTCATGGAAGGCAAGTGCCTCATCACAACATCCAGTGCCTGGATGGTTTCAAACGGGACACTTGGCAGCCGGCCAGAAAGAGCATCATGCAATGCCTGCAAACTCACACAGGACATCCACTTTATGGCCACCTTAAATATTCTGTCCTTCCCTTCCCCTGGCAACGTGACCTCCAACTCCACCTGCAACAATGACAAACAACAAACCAAGATGATTCTTTCTGTTTGGAGAGGAAAATGAGAGGGGACAATGAATTGCTCTGAATAATGCTGTACAGCCTGGGAAAAGATAGAGCAATGATGAAGAAACAGCAGATATTATGTACAGCCTGTCAACAGCTACATTTTTCTACAGGTGTATTTCAGCTAACTGGTATGCTTCCCAGGTTGGCATTCTAACACTGATTTCTCATCTTTCTTAGAAGATAAGGTCTGAGAATAATTCTTAACCCAACTGGAAGTTGGTCTAGTCTGATATCACAAAAACCTGAGGCAGTGACTATGAGAAATAACATCATCAGAACGTCCCTTGCGTTGGATGTAAACAAAAGCACTGCATTTTCCTGCCCCGAGTGTACTGCTTCAATTCAAAAGACACCCACTTAGCAGACAAACTGTAATTAGAGTGCTACTGAAAACAATATATGGTAGCAGCAGGCTAATATATGCAGTCATCCGCCCTCTTGCAGCAGTTAGCTTCTTCAGTCCACAAAGCAAAGATAAAACAAATACAAGCAGCTTCTCCATAAGCCAGCAACCAAGTTGACAATTTATAGTGGACAGTCCAAATTAATACTGCAGTCCTATCTTTCCCTTACAACCAACATTATTCACCACAGCAGCTGTGCAGAGGAAGGAGCCATGTGGCCGTGGGAGAGCAATGGAAAGTGGAGTCTGGAACAGCAGGACCTGTAGATGGCCCAGAATGTTTATTCTGCCAAAAAGGTCATGCAAATGAAGGTGTAGGTTGTCAGCTGATGCTGGTTGGAAGCTTTCTACAAAGCCTCTTTTTGCTTATTTGGCTTTTTCCCTCCCCTTGGTCTCAACTTACAAAGCTCCTTAACCACAATGGTATGGAAAAAAGATAAAGAACTGATCTATTTGTGGTGCTGTATCCACATCCCTGATAAACACAGGACTGGAGAATCTCTATGACGATTACTGGACTGCAAGCCAATGTCCGACCCTCTCCCCGAACCCCACATCCAATTCATACCTTGAGCCCTAAGTTTTAAAGTGGATGATCCATAACGTGAACTACTTAACTCATTTCTTGGTAATAAAACCCTAACACACAGGTAGGCTCAGCCATCTTAGACAAATCTACCAGTTACCAGAGCAATATCTGGGCCATGCTACATTTAGCTTAGTTGTCACAAAGAATTTACAGTAACTTGTCCCACTTTTAACTGTTGGCTTTTAAGCCTCTTCAAAACCAAATTAGTCACTGATACTGCTCAAATACATAAGTTTTAATCCAACTTTCCAGGTTGTCTTCCTTTTATATCTCACCTGAGTGAAATGCTACTGAAGAGCTGAAAAAATAATCCTAAAGATACATTAGGAGACTGCTCCTATCTACGTACCTTGACTGCGTCCTCTACTCTTTTTGTATGAGTAAAAATTGAGAAAATACTTTGTTTTAATACTTATATAGTCCATAATTGATCTGAAACGTATAAAGAAATGAAGGAGTGACAGAATGAAAATTAGCTATAAGGAAGGAATTACAACAGGTATGAAAGCAGAAAAGATGAAAATGTGTTTGTACGAGTTCAAATAGAAGCAGGATATCAGCAAGGCCAAAAAAAGAAAGAACAACTACCACTGACAAGAGATGAAGACAGAGGATGTTAATTAAGTTAAAGAGCAACAGGAAAAAGGTGCTGACAAATTGGTTTTAGCCTCCTGATTAGCATCAGTTCTTCCTCTACTGGCTTATATTGCAAGTAAATGAAGTTCTTCTCCTACTTAGATTAAAGACCATCTATTAATCATTGTATGATCATGAATCTTTTCAATATGATCCCAAGTGTAGCAGAATTGCTATATTTGTTATGTACAGAACAGCCAAAAAACCCCCAAGAAACCTAATCTAATTACTCTGGAGGAAAGTGTTAATACCTACAAGCTTTATAATGGTTTAAACCATGCTTAAACCAATTAAGCTCCATGAAAAAAGAAATTCCCTCATTAAGCTAAATTTCCCCACACTTGATTTAAACCAGTTGAGGTTTTTCTGTATAAGTTTTTTCCTCCAGGGTAATAATTTCAGTTGCCTTGGCATACAGATATTAAAGTTCTGTTGTGGATGGGAAAAAGGGAAGAATCTGAAAGTCTATCAGAAGTGAGAGCCAGATACACAGATGAAATCACAGATTCACAGAATGGCCCAGGTTGGAAGGGGCATCAAGGATCATGAAGCTCCAACCCCCATGACACATGCAGGGCCTCCACATTTAATACTAGACCAGGCTGCCCAGGGCCCCATCCAGACTTTTGTGATGGCAATAAGATCACAAGACCCTAAGAAAAGTGGAATCTAAAGGCAGCAGCAAATTTACACATAAAAAAGAACATACAAACCAATTTCTATCAGTTATTAGAAAGGCTCTGCAAATATTACACTGGGATCTCCAATCAGAAACTCTTCTGAAGTTTTCTCTTTAAAACTTACTTTATCTCTTCCAATGGGAAGTGGCATAGCTGTATAAAGGTTTTTTCTTCCATCGAACACTGGCTTGCGATCCCCAAAAATCTGTGTTTTAAAGTGCTGAACCATATGCTCCACTATTTCTCTGAAAAATACAAAAAAGAGTACATTAATTCAACTTTTTTACTTTTGATGTTACATAGCAGATGAATACCAATATTCATGAGTAGAAGCATTAGGAAAATTAAAAGGTTGTCTCCTGCCAGGCATTAAAGCTGAGATTTGTTTGATCTGAATTAGAGCAATCTTTTCACAGACTAAACCACTTTCTGAACGCAGCTGTTGTTAGCTTTTTCAGATGCCTTCCTGTCTGCTGTGATTTAACACAAGTGGCAAACTGAAAGACTGTGCTATCTCACGGTCACAACAGAAGGAGCATGGTATTGTCTGGGTCTCCTGCTTCCCAACCCTACAGTACTTCTGTATGGAGCCAAAGCTCAGCAGACTGAGCAGCTTTCCAAATACGACTACCCAAGCTTTCAGCCTCAGCCTTCCCCCAGCACAACATTCCTGTGATGACAGTGATACATAAAATTTCTGTGTAGTGCTAAGACAGATTACTTAAGTGCAAGTTTTTCCACAAAAGCAACAAAACTAGCATTCACAGAGATCCAAATGTATTAGAAATGCATATCCGTCCATTAAAGCACAGCTGGAAATACGTGCTGTTTGTATGAATGATGTAACTAGTCCCAAAGCACTTGTCTAACCACAGTGCTTCCACGCTGATCATACAAACCAGTCCACCAGCCAGATGAGTGGCTTGTTGAAGTAACAGCACCCTTTGATGCCAAAGGCCTTTAGTCCAAATGTCCCAAACAGACATGCTTCAGGCTACGTGTCTCATACAGCTGGAAATCTCAAATCCAGCAGTGGTTTGCAATATGCTGCCTAGAAGATAGTTAACATATATATGGCTCAAGGGCAAAACAGCCCGAAGAAGTTGAGCTGACACAGGAAGGAAAGCTACAGGATGCTGTTTCTTCTGTACCACTGCCAACTAGCTCAGTGAGGCTGCAGATGACTATTTTACTCACCATGATTTAGAAAGATAATTAGCTGAATTAGTTGCTGTAGCAACATAAAACTCTGAGAAGAAACTTCAAGCTCATTCAAGCATTGTAGAGAGTGAAGGCTGTTTGAGCTGACAATTTATTTGCTGCATCTCACAGCTTTAAGATTAGATAGGTTTCTTTTAATGGTCCCATCTCAGCTTCTGAGAAATATGAATGAAACTTAATCCAGCAGCTTCTGCCTCAGGTCTGCAGTATCTGACTGAACAAGTGCCAATTTCAAGGATAGAAGGGAGATATTTTTTACCCTTGTTTCGAGCAATGGAAAATCCATTCTCTTCCTGAGCAAGATTTGATTGCAAATTGCTCTGCATGAAAATGAACGCTTCTGTTTAATTAGGATTTTCACACTTGGAACTCTGTTTAATGATGGTGTTTCTCAGCTGCAGTTTGAGGCATTTCAATGAAAAGTGGAACTATTTTCTCAATTTGAAGTTAAAAGAAGAGTGATTTACTGGCATTCTAGCCCTTGTGGACTACTGCACAGAGACCACACGTGCATGCAAGAACACAAGAGATCCCAGGTCACTTAAGAGGCTAGTGACACACTGGAACAGGTTGCCCAAGGAGGTTGTGGATGTCCCTTCCCTGGAGGCATTCAAGGCCAGGCTGGATGTGGCTCTGGACAGCCTGGTCCACTGGTTGGCGACCCTGCACATAGCAGGGGAATTGAAACTAGGTGATCATTGTGGTCCTTTCAACCCAGGCCATTCTATGATGATTCTATGATGACAATTCCAGGTGGAGTTCATTTTGAGCCATGTACAAGTCCCAGCAACCCTCACAAATTAAACCAAGGACACTGACAGCACAGAACCAATCCCACATTGCCCATTCTCAACATCTACCAAAAGAGATCTGGACTTCCTGCAACATGAAAAAAACTGAGCCTAACTGCATAGGTTTGGCACAGCAGCCCAGCTATCTCAGCTCAGTATTCCAGTCCTGCTCCAGCTCTTGTTTATGGCGTATCCAACTGTACAGTCCAAGCCATAGGTAGTCCAAAAATAAAACTGAAGAATGAAGCCAGCACAGATGAGGGAACAGTGTACATGCAATTAAAAGCTCAACCTTTTCTAGATGTTAAAACACAAAATAATGATAAAAGCTACTGATTGTAGGTATGTAGCTGAGTTACATAACCAAAACACTAGAAACTCTAATCTAGATGAACAAATGAATTTTAGCTCTGGACTGTACCTGCACCCTACAAAATCCTACATATGCATATATAAACACATGCACAGACACAGGTGTACATGCAGGACTGAAAGGCCACAGCAAGCAAAGCGCCAGGCACTGACAAGTGCATGTACACCTAAAGGGTAGCAAAAGCACAAGCAAGTGCTCAAGGAAGAAGAAATGAAACATAAACTTCATTAAATGAATCCAATTTGTATTCTTCCCACACTATACAGAGAAATGTGCACAGTTGAATGCATTCATTACACCCTTGCTTACTGCAAAAGGCACTGAACCATGCAGATTTATATCTCCTCTGATACCACAACACAAGGAATAGCTAACCTAACAAAGGAGATCGGGTCTGAAGCTGTCAGTGGGGCAACAACTCATTACAGAGTATAACCTGCTTTATCAGCCAGGAAAATTGCTTTACAATTACTTTATAATTATGTTCTCTACAATTCCTTGGAAACTGATTCCCCACCACTAAAGGTAGGGATGAGAGAAGAAAGCACACACACACACTGGACTACAAAGAGGAGATCACTGAGAACAGCAGCACACACCACAAACACATACCAGCTGCACAGCACTGCACCATCCAGAGGGGCTAAGGAGCATAGAAATCTGCAACATACAGCAGCATGCATGCTGTCAACACTGGAGCAGGAAGCAAGGATAACCAGTGATAGTGAAAGCAAAGCTCTCATGGCTTTCTCTATGAAAATCTGAACTACAGTGCAGTGGGAATGCATTGTGCAATCAACAGGGCTGCTTCAGGCAAGAAGAAAATTTAGCTTGATGCACGTACAACATCTGCTTTTAAAACTAAGCCCAATTCTCAACTGGTTTAAAGGTTTTAAATAGCCTTAGAAAAGAGAAAAAAAACAGAGCAGCAAAGTATAGCAATGCTGCTTTATGGAAATACCATTACTAGCAGACTTGTTAGTGTAACAGTTGATAATGCACTCCAGTTTGTTAATTGACGTCAAGAAAACCGTGGCTTTCAGGTGACTTTTTGGACTCTACACTTTTGTTCTTAACTGCATAATCCACCCATGTGGACCTTTTTTAATATGGAAAGTTTTTGCTGTTGAATATATAAACACACCATTACGATACTCCACAGTCAAGATGTGTAGGTAGTTATAATGATGACACTTGTGGTTTCGACTTAGTGCCAAGTCTTGTTCTCAGTTTCACTTCTGGCAACACCACTCTTTTTCAAGTTAATGAGGTTGCCACACTGTGACTAATAGGGCACACATGCAAAATACAGGACCTAATTGCTTATTTCCTTTGCCAGCTGATCCATGCTTTCATCTCCCTATCTGTTTCAGGAGCATATCTTTCCCTTTTATAGAATCTACTGATGAAGGATAATTTCTTACCTAATTCAGTCCTTCCACGATCCTCTCCCAGCAGCACAAACAAATGGGTTTTACCTCCCCTTTTAAGTAGGTGAAGGCAGGAAAACAAGCTGGCAACACCAGTTCCCTGCTGAAGGGCTTGCCAGCCAATTACACTCTGATATTTAAACAAGCAATACCAAGAATATTACTTATCAAGTTGGTTTACACTGATCTAACCTCTCTATTGAATTAATACAGAGGCTTTAATCAGAAGTTGACAAGTTCGTCAAAATAAGGGACCATCAGCACTGAATCTTTGGGCTGGGACCAACATTGTTGGAGAAAGAGTGTGGGGTGACCTCATTGCAGCCTTCCAGTACATAAAGGAAGCCTACAAACAGGAGGGGAATCAACTCCTTCAAAGGGTAGATAACAGAAGGCCAAGGAGAAATGGTTTGAAGTTCAAGGAGGGAAGACTTAGGTTGGGTACCGGGGAAAGTTCTTTACTACGAGAGTGGTGAGGTGCTGGAACAGGCTGCCCACAGAGGTTGTGGATGCCCCGTCCCTGGAGGTGTTCAAGGCCAGGTTGGATGGGACCCTGGGCAGCCTGGTCTAGTATTAAATGTAGAGGTTGGTGGCCTTGCATGCAGCAGTGGGGTTGGAGCTTGATGATGCTTGAGGCCCCTGCCAACGCAAGCTTTTCTATGATTCTATGATTAAAAAGTCTGAGGAACACTGCTTGTTGACGGGTATGGAAAGCTGGAAGCTATCAGTACAAACAATGAATAAAAACAGATGCGTCTTCTGAACTGTCAGTGAAAACAGGCACATGGCTCCACAATTTTCAAATGAAAACCAGAATCTAAGCAAACTCTGGAAAAAAGCGAAGCACTGGATTACCTGTTAACTCTTCTTGGACATTTTTCTGGCTTTATATCCAACTCATAATGGTAGATATCTATTTTAGGAATGTCCATTTCAAAGAAGTTGGCCTGCAGTTTGATTGTTCTCCCAGAAGTCCCAAAATCTGGGCGAGGAGGAGGTTTGAAGGCATATCCCTGTACTGGTGGTGGCAATGGTGGAGGAGGTGCAAGCACTGAAAAGAGAGAAAGCACAAATTAGCCTGAATTCACCTGACTTGAACAAATTCACAGACATTATCCAACAAAGTGGGGGATGTTCAAACTGGTAACAAAGAAAATCTGCTATCAGGAGTCCATTCATTTCCTCTCTTCTTCCAATGTTGGTTTACTGTTTGCTCTGTTTCCTAGTCCTCACCATTGATTAGAATCTTAAAATTAGTAAGATTTTCCCATACAACGAGACAACTGGGCAGGATTTTGAGATGCTAAGCAGGCACTGGTGGAAAATCAAGAACAAAGAGATATAATGAAGCTCAGCTTACAAATATTCAAGGAAGAACACTGGAGCTTGGTAAGTTCCACTGGAGCTTAGTGACAAATGGTAAATAAGCAAATTATGGAGATAACATGAAAAATGCAAATTCCTGGGGAAAGATATGGAACAATTCACACACACAGCAGAGAACAGAACCAGGCACTTCAAAAATAACAACCAGCAATATCAGCTACTTTCACTTTTAAACTACATCTGTTTTAAATGTTCCAATTAAAGTTACTTCTGGCTCAACACACTGAGCAAACTTATATAGGGCAGGGCGGTGCTTGGAAGAGATAAGCACTGTTTATTAAACAGCAGCACTGACCTGATAAGCAGTCAGCCCATATTTCTGTGGCACGAAGCAGATACACATGCATTAGCTACAGGACTGATGGCTGTACCTATGTGCACCTTACATGTGGCACTGAGGAACATGGCCTGCTGGGCACGATGGTGATGGGTCAGTGGTTGGACTACATCATGACCTTAGTGGTCCTTACCAACCGTACCCATTCTATATGGGAATGCTTCTCTATGGGGTGTTGCAGAGGATACAGATATACTCTACCCATGGAAAGCTGCCACAGCTCACCCACCAGAGCCCAAAGGGCTGCCCCTGCTGGCCTTCCAAACACACCGCTGTGGTTTTTTTGCTCCATTCCTGGTTTTCAGAGACTCCTTTGAAAACACACGCAGTACCTTCAGACAGTACTCTGAAAGTCTACATGCACTGGATTTTACATTTAAAGTGCTGTCAAGGGGAGAATGAAGCAGATGAAAGACAAGTACACCGAAACACCCTTGTGATATGCATCAGAAACTCCTTGTTCATTTGCTACATGACAACGTGAATAATAAAAATGTTTCAGCCTTGATATGATGACTGAAGCCATCAAGAAAACACAGAGCCCTATTTGCATGGTTTGAAGTAAGGTGCACTGCATACTCAGTAATGAGGTGCCAGTATAATGTCTTCAGGCTCCTCTGGAACTGAGAGCTAACAGATTTCCTACCAGAATTCATTCAATTTACAATAGATCAAGTGTTCAAAGTTAGCACTCTTAAGAACGGTCATTTCTACCAAAGTAGAAACTGGGGAAAATCCAGGTATTAGAAAAGTAACTGACTCATGGCAGTTTTCTTAAAGAACCATAAACCTCAGGCAGTATCACTCTGTTAAGAGAGAAGCAGGAAAATGGAGGTGGCAGAAGAGCTGTGCTCAAACACAGAACTGCACAGAGATGTTAAGTTAGTGCAAAGTTTTGCAAGTTTACAAGAATGCTGCAAATTCAAGGCTGGCTGCATGCAGACTTCCATTCCAGCAAAATACTGCAGATCCAAACTGGAGATAAGAGTGACTCAAGGAGCCACAGGGCCAAGGCACTCCCAGCATGTAAAAGGAATGAATGAGCCATGCTTCTGATTGCACTCCTCTCCCCCTCCAAAACCCAACCAGTTGTGGAACTGAATTATCAGAGCCATTTAATTTATCACCTATATGGAGGCCTTCAGCACCGTCCTTTATTCTTCATTGTGCTGTAAAGCTTAAGGTTGTTGTTGCTCTGAAGTGCTGCTCAGCACTGAAGTTTTAGCATGGAATTATGCCATTAACACGCAGTCAGAGGCCTAATGAGTTACTAAATAAGAAAGGGCCAAGCTAGTTGCATCCAAAAGGGCTTGTCGACACAGGAGATCATCCAAGCATAATTCTTCTACTGTAATTATATCAATACGTTTTTTTCCGCAGCAAGTCCTAACACATTTAATTACCTGGTGATGTTTTCACAGATCAAAGAACATTTTAGCACTGGGCTAATGCAGCCTACAGCTGTCATAGGAAGCCTCTCAAACTATACGGCCTGTAAGTGAAACTGATGTGAAGGAAGGAAGCCTTATTCGGAAGCCCCGCTTTCAGTTGAGGTTTCATTATCAGACATCAGGGCGGTTATTCCGGATCATCCATGTGGGTGTTTTCAGATATTGCTGTGTTGATCTACAATACAGCTGCCACTGCCAGAAGCTGCCACGTGAAAAGGAGATGTTTAAGACCTTCAACACTTTTTTGTGCTCAGTAGTGCATTTTTATCCACCTCAAACAAGAGATGCAGGAAGTGAAGCAAACGGCAGGCAACAGAGCTTACCCTGAAGACAGAGTGATGCTGTCAGAGGTACAATAAATAAGACACTTTTTTTTCCAAAAGTGTATCAGACACACTCATTACTTGACACCCATTTAATGAAACACATCCAAATTTCATGCTGGCATACAGAATTTTAACACAGTATCACATTAAGTTCCCCCTGCTGCACTCGATGTGCCTGGCCTGCCAATCCCAGCCTTGCAGACAGTACAAAGACCACAGTGAAGTTTGCTTTTTGAACTACATTTTGCTGTTTCCAGTTAAGTCACTGATTCCATCCTTTCACAAGGAGATATCACTACTATTGATTCAAAAACCAAATTGGGAGGGTTATGAACCTGAGCTCAGCTACTGAACAGCTGTTTTGCTCCCAGGCCTGCAGGAAACAACAACAAGATCAGGTTAAGAACCAAGACCAGCAAAAGAAGGGATGTGTGTGCTACACAAGGCAGCTGTGTAGGAGGTGATGGATATGGTGAAAACACAGAGTAAGCTGCAAGAGACCAGATATGGCCACTCTCCTCTTCACAGAGTTTCCAAAGCAACTCTTACAACTCGTTCCAATGGTTGATTACCCTCATGGTAAAACACATTTGTGGTATTATTAGCTAGTTTCCTGTGCTGCAGCTTCTGTCTCTCACCCCATCCCTTGTGCACCTTCCCTAAATCCATGTTCACCTCCTCCAGATCTCGCCTTATGAACTTGCAGATTTCCTTAGCTGTCCTAAAGGTTCTACAAACCCAATTCTCTCAACCATATATATATGTATGTCAGAATGTCTTTGCACGTGATCTTCAGCTTCGGGCCATCTTCAAGTTTTCTTACAGTATGTGTTTTTAAACAAGTTTGACTTCTGAACTGGTTTTCTGTTAGGAACGGTTGGAGAAAGATAGAAAGAGAGCCTGCAGTGTTTTGTAAGAGATAAGGGAAACTCCAAGCTGCAGCTAATAGTCCCTTGATACTATGGAGGGCAGAGGCATCTATACATCTGCCTTTGCTGCCTATTAAGCATGTTTTGGAGAATACAAACTAAATTCATCAGTGAAGTTATAGCACTGTTGCATTAGATGATACACAAGGAAACAACCTTCTCAGTTATCCCCCCAAATTCAACAAACCACAAGAGAAGCACTGCAGGGAAACTGAAGAAATATGGATGCCCCATCCCTGGAGGCATTCAAGGCCAGGCTGGATGTGGCTCTGGGCAGCCTGGTCTGGTGGCTGGTGACCCTGCACATAGCAGGGGGTTTAAACCAGATGATCATTGTGGTCCTTTTTAACCCAGGCCATTCCATGATGATGATGATACTATGATGAAATGATGATGTAGTCAGAACTTCATTTAAGCCTGTATTACAGCACTATTTTAACTATTGAAGATCCCATTGTAAGGTGCGACTGCCAGAAGATTTCCTGCTAATAACACATCCTCTTGAAAAACAATATTTGATAGAGCCCAGAAGGGCAAGTAACCTGATAAGCACCTGAAAGAAATGAAAGAGTAAAAACAATTATTTCTCCTCTTTTATGCAAATGAACACGATCTAAGGTTTACTGAGGATAAATCCTGTAACCACTTCTTGTTCTAGTGGTATCAACAGAGGAAAATTATTCAACTGGATGGAGAGCAAACAGATTACTAAAGCTGTCCTCAGAAGGAAAGAAAACAAAAAGGGAGAGTGGGGGAGAGGAGAGCCTTCTGGTAATCCTTATCTTCTACTCGAGTTTCCTAGCCAAGGGCTGTTAAATGATTATTTTCCTGAAATGGCACTATAATGCTATCCAGAGTTCAATCACTCCAGAATGGAGAATTCCTGCTTCCCATCACATTCAGACTGCTCCTGTACTTCTCACAAACACCTGCTTGTCATCATCACATCATCATTCGAGTTGGAAGGGATCCTAAAAGGCCATCTCCCCTACAATGCACAGAGAAACCTACAGCTCCATCAAGGTGCTGAGAGCCCCATCCAGCCTGACCTTGAGTGTACCTCCAGGAATGGGGCTTTCACCACCTCTCTAGGTAACCTATTCCAGTGCTTCACCATCCTTAATTGTAAAAAACTTCATCCTTACGTCCAATTTAATATCCCCTCTTTTAGTTTGAAATCATTTCCCCTTGTCCTGTTGCAATAGAGTCTACAGACTAAAGAGTCTGTTCCCTTCTTTCTCATAGCTCTCCTTCAGATACTGAAAAGCCTCTCTCCAGCTTCCTATACACCAGTACTCCCAGGTCCTTTGTGGCAGAACAGCTGTGCTTTATCTTTACATCCCCCAGCTTGTATTGATAGCAGGAGTTGCCATGACCCAGGTGTAAGACCTTGCATTCAGCTCTGTTGAACCTCATGACGTTCTCCAAGGCCCACTGCTCAAGTCTGTCTAGGTCTCTCCAGATGGCATCTCGTCCCTCAGGCACCTTGACCACACAGCTTGGCATCAACAGCAAACTTGCTGAGGATGCACTCATTCCAACTGTCAGTTCACTGATGAAGATATTAAAGATCACTGGTCTCAGTAGCGACCCCTGCAAAATACTCCTGTCATGGACCTCCATCCAAACATTGCCCCAGCCCATCGTGTTCCCATTCACACTTGGAACCCAAGCCTTAAAGAAACTTCAATCACCTACATTCCTCCTTGCTGTGCCTTGATGAGTTTCATTTCTGTTATTTCTATAAGCTGTCTTTATATTTTGTCTTATTTTAAGACCCCTGTATGATACTATTGGGAACTGTAGGGATCTCACCGTGCAGAATTGCTTCTAATTCCTTAGCAATATGCAATTCATATTCAGATAAGAAGCAGAAGTGTTGGATAAACAGCACTGCCTTCAAATCTGTGATCTCATTATATTCAGCAGACTTAATCGAGAGATCATTTTTATGTAATAATTGTCACTTACCACAAGAGAATTGAAGCAGTGTTAATTATCAAGTCAAACGTTGTATTATTCTGCTTAGAACAAATAATCAGTTACAGATCTACAGCTGCCTTGGTTATCCTGGATACTTCCCCATCCTGCTAAGACACGGATGTGATCTCTCCTTACTGCAGGAAGCAATGTAACCCAGAGAGATCAGAATTCCTTCCAGACGCCCACAGTGAGTGTGGTCAGAGATGAAAAGGAGAAACAAGACAACAGTCCTGTTTGCTTTATGAAGTCATAACCAGGTTTCCAACATGGATACGTGAAAGACTGCAAGAACTCCACATACAAGTGGGGGTGAGCAGCAGAGGAGTAACACAGAGCGTTCAAGATGTACATGGAGCATCCAACAGCTATCCCTACCATTAATAAGCCATGTGGCTTGACTGATATCTGCATGCAAAGCTGCACAAAGTGAACTGAAATTCTTCCTATGGGATACAGAGAATTCTTTTAATTGTGAACAGTAATGTTGAATTAAGTTATGAACTGGAAACAGTGAGCCTCATCCAAACAGTGCAGTGGGTGCTTATGACTTACCTACGTGTCAGTAATCCAGTTGAAAGTTATCATGAATGGAGACTACAAAATGACTTCACCTTCAAGCAGATCTCTACTAGGTGAAGAGAGAAAATGGAGACTGGTCTGAGTGCTGTTTATCACTTGACCATAATGAACCGTTCTGTTCTCCTTACCTTGGAAAGTGCTGAACTAATTACAGGTTTTTCTAAGGATTAAAAAAAGTCTGTAGTATTTTCTGTGTTCATAAAGAACAGTGCCTCCATTCAATACAACCTCAAGCCTTTAGGAATGGAGAAGAACGAAGCAGCGCGTATTACATTATCCTAGAGAAGAAAAAAATTTCCAAATAGCACCTTCTTCATGCTGCTTCATACCTTTTAGAGGAAAGAACAGAAATTGTGTGTCCCTCATTGCACCTTACCTCCCTTTACCTGCACTCTCTGAAACACTGCACTTAGGTTAGGATAGGAAAGAAGTGCAGCTTACTTCCTTTCTTAGTTGACAGTCATACTCCCACACTTTGAGACCACGTGGTTATGTACAAAATGGTACAACTCAGCCTCCACTGTCGTCAGCTTTCCTTTCCTTTTTTCTAAGTCACAGTAGACCTGTAAAGCACAACTTCCTTATTAAGGAAACCTCATTAGTGCTGCATATTTATTTCAGAGACCAAGCTGAAGTTTCTATCAAACTACTTGGGGCAACCACCGGATGAATGATAACTTGCATTCAGTCCACAGCACCACTGAAGCTGTGCCAGAATCAGAGCCCACTGAGGGGTACTGAGCCCCAAGCAACCACATCAGGTACTTCAGCACCCTCTGCCCAGTGACATTTGTACTGTATCCAATTAAATGAAGCACAAATGATAGGGGGTCAGACTAGATGATCTCTAGAGATCCCTTCCAACCCCTACAGCTCCCTGATTCTGTGATTTGTCCTCAGCTTAATAAAGAAGTAAGCCAGGATGGACATCTGTGCTGTACCTTTGCTATACTGACTACATTCCAGACTTGGAATAACTCTGAAAATACAAAGTTTAAAATATCTTCATGCCTACAATATTTTTAATTTACAAAACTCAACTCTTAAGATATAATTCAGAAGCTTTCCTTCAAAAAGAAATCTTTGCCCAGACACACAGCAGATCAATCTAAAAAATACTAACGCTCCCACGGCTCAAAGTAGGAAATTCACAGTTCATTTATCATTTTAGATAGTGAAAGCAGCTGCAGGAGCATCTCTACCATGCCAGAGATCCAACAGTACATAATGCAATTTCAAGAAAAGGCTGTGGTGGTTTCCAGCATCGCTGAGAGGAGCAGCAAAATACTGGTTTGTAATAATGGAATAATTGAGACACGAGAAGTGGAGGCTTTCAGTTGAATGCTTCTATGTTTTTCCCCAATTACAGCTTTTTTCTTCCACCTGCTTCCTGTAACCAACTTAAGTTCTCATATTAGTCAAAACAAATGAAGACCCAGCTGTGGCACTGTGCCACCCGAGTGATGACAGCTAAAGCTTGGGAGCAGACTGTTAAGTAGTGACATCTGACTACAGGGAGATTCACAATCTCACAGAAATATGTATTCATCTGTTTTCAGCTGCAGTGTCACTACCAACATTTTATTCAGTATTGCACCTAGTCCTGTACATCTCCATTTGTGGTCTGCCCATTCTGTCTAAGGATTCTGTAAAAGACAGGAAAAAAAGCAAAGCGTATACAAGTGTGTCCAAGTTTTAGGTTAATGGACATTTGCAAATCAGGAATAATTAGGAAAAAAATACTACTGTATTCTAATCACACGACACAATCCAAACAATAAAGTTCCACTTCCTCACCCCAGTGGGAATCCACTTTGAAGTTTCCTCTTCCTGCACGAAGCTCTCACTTCTTCAAACAACACACCTTCATTCACACAGCAGTGACTCGTACAGATCAAAACCACACACTCCTTCATTAAACCCTGAAGAAATGTATTTGGTTCATTGAGGCATTCGTTCTTCTGCACTGTCATACCAACCTGAACCTCAGTGTCCTCCATTCTATTCTTGTTTCGTCTGTGGTTTGGAGGGTTGATGGTTTTTTTGTTTTTTTTTTAAAGCTATGTCTCAAACACTGACGTTCAAAAAGGGATAGAGTCCAAAGAGCTCAAGTTGAAGCTCACTGTTGTTTGAGAAGTCTTGCATTTTAGCAACAATTAGAATAAAAAAGAACATGGAAAATCAGAGAGACCCCCACCCCCAAAATCTACAGACTGTGCTCCACGTGAGAGCAAACGAAGATGTCAGAAATGATGAAGGATTACGACAGGGCAAGAGAGGCCAACCAACAGAGGGACTCCTCAAAAGCAGCAGAAAGGGAGCATTCACTGCAATCCACGACTTGTATGAAAGGACAATGTAATAAGTTCTTTATCAAAGGATAAGCGAAGCCAAGAACACAGAAACATTTAGATAGGAATTTACCCTCTGCATGAATAGACGTCTGTCCCTTGCTAGTTAACACTTGCTAAACAAGTTTCAGAAGGTATTTAACGAGGCCCCAGTAATAATTATGTTTTAAAGGCTTATTTATCTACATGACAAATTTAACTTCAAACAGTTTTTAGATTGATCCAGCTAAGCCAGTGAATCCTCCCCTCTTGGGAACTCATCTAAAATAGGCTTATTTAAAACAAATCTTAACTGGCACGTCCACACACTTCCTAATACTAAACTAAGAGCTCTACAGAGGTGATCTGTGACACAAGCAGCTTTAAGAGTCACCCATGCTCACATCACAGCACCTACTGCTGTCTCAAAGTCACTTCACACCCTGGCCAGAAAAAAAGTCATGAAGTGGTTTACAAAATCATCATCCTGGTGTTGCCTGTCTATAAATCTGTGCTATAAACACCACTACAGGTTTTAAAAGCAGCACTGAGCCCCGAGTGATGTGCTGAAGAGCAACGACTCCATTCCTGCCCCAAGGACTGTTGTGACTGCTGCAGTCACAACACATCCCGTAACTTCTATCACCAGCATTCCTGCTTTGCTTCTCTCAAGGAAAACTCAACAGGGTGAAGAGATAAAAGCAGAAAAAAAGAGACTTGGTTCAGTTTGGAGCAGCACACAATGCAGCATCCCACATGATGTCAGCACAACCATTTCTTCCTGCAGCGCCACTAGATTAGGCTAGTTTCAGACATACATAAAATTATAGGCTAGCACACAGCCAGCTTTTATATCTGCTATCAGCAATGAAGCATTTTGTTTCTCGAGAGAAAAGAAGACTAAAACATACAGCAGAGACAAAACACAGCTGAGAAGCTCTGCCAGAAATAGAAAAAGACAAACAAATTACGACAGGAGAGAACCAACTACTCTCACCACATCTGCGGTTAAAAAGCATCAGTTTCACAACCCAACTACAACCAACACTTGGCAGCGCTGTGGAAAGCACAGTGAGAACAGGCATTGGCACAGCTTGCCCAGGGAAGTGGTGGAATTGCCATTGCTGGAGGCGTTCAAGAAAAAGGCAGATGTGGCACTGAGGGCCACGCTTCAGTGCTCTGGTGGGGATGGGTTGATAGTTGATGGCCTTAGTGGTCTTCTCTAACCTTATTGATTCAATGATTTCGCTGTATTTATACATCAAATTCCCCAAGTATTGCACCTAATACAGAAGAAACACCTACTACCCACACAGCTGCAGCATTAAGCAATCACGGTACTCTACCCCTTTTGGCTACTTTTCTGCCAATTGCACTTGATGGTGTAGGACCCCTGAAGAGCCTGATGCCTCAGCAGACATCTGGGGAATGCTCCCTTTACTATTTTACCCTTACATGGCCATGTAAGAACAAGCTGAACAGTTTTTCCTCTTGCCAATTTCCTAAGGGGAACAACTATCCTTGATAATCATTAGTGGAGTGGTGAGGTGCTGGAACAGGCTGCCCAGAAAGGTTGTGGATGCTCTGTTTCTAGAGGTGTTCAGACTGGATGGGGCCCTGGGCAGCCTGGTCTAGTATTAAATGGGGAGGTTGGCGGCCCTGCATGTGGCAGGGGGGGTGGAGATCCATGATCCTTGATGTCTCTTCCAACCCTGGCCATTCTGTGATTAATCAGATAACATCAACTGCCAAGGCATTCTGCTTTAGCATAAGCAGTACTTGATCAAAGCATTCTATGCTCAACGTTCATTAAGCACAGACAATACCCCTTTCTTTCCAAGGGAAGATCATTGCTTCCATTACATACATCTTCCCCTCCTGATAGTTTTGAGATGTCTACCTGGTATCAGTGCCACTTGCCTTCACAGCTGTGGAAGATGATGTTGTTCAGGTCTGCCTTTTCCAACTTTGCAAGCATGGAATCAGTAAGAAGATGTTCAAGTTCAGCTTTAGGTATTAAAATAAATTGGAGAAGGGAAAAAAAAAAAAAAAAGAGAGAAAGCCTTTGCAGCACCTTGGAAAGCATAGAACTTGACAAGCCAACAGGCCAGGAGACACTTCTCATGTTGGTGGGCTGCTTTGTCCATCAGAAAAGATTCATGATACTGAGGGCAATTCATCAGACAATGCATGGAGCAGATCCCTACCCACAGCCATTACACTTAAAACTACATAATATTTTCCATCAGCTCTTTTTTTTCCTAGCCTGGAACTTAGCAAAAATAAGATACTCCCAGTTGACTTTTCTTAATAGTCACGGAAGTGTGAGATCACATCTTTAACAAGCAGTAGTACTGCCTGCTGTTACAAATATTACAAATTTGGTCACTAACAACATGACCAAGTGCTCCTCTAAAACTTGAGATCAGGAAGGCTGTGTGCAACACTGTTTTTGATGAGTCTTACAAGTTTCGCAAAGCTATCTGTACAATCAGTACGAGAATCACTGCTGAATAAACTCTTGTACTTTCCATACAGTGAATCTTTTGTATACATTGGCTTGCTAAGGAAAGGAGAAAGTTTCAGTCGGATGTACATCTGTCACCTTTTCATCAAATAATCAACCAGGAGGTAAGAAAATACCCTTAATTTTCCTGTGTTTGACACATGGAAAGCCATAACCCCCCCTTTACAAAGTCAGTGTATTTCAGACAACTGCTGCTTTAACAATTAATGTCTCCAGTAGCAGACAAAATTAAATGTGCTTTCAAAGACTAAGAAATAGAATATATAGGACACTAACCTTGCAATTCAGAAATATAGAATCATTCGGTGGAAGTTACAAAAGTTCAAGTGAATTTTCATCACTTCTTCAAACCAAACTGATATAAAAACAGTGCCTTTATTAAAATATTAATACATTCCCCTTGTGTATGGGAAGGAAGGTTGGACTACCTGATCTTTAAGGGTTCCCTCCAACACAAACCATTCTATCACCACATCACTTGGACGTTCTTTGAAATTAGTCAGGTGAACACAGAAAAACTGCTGCTGTGGCCACATAACTTGCTTTGTACTGTTAAACGGGGAAAGAATTAAGATTAAAACAGCCACCCTGGGGCAGATTGAGCCATTACGTTGGCAGGAGGCCAACACCACAGAATGGGCATCCAGTTTGGCAATGGGAACTTGAAGAGTGAAGTACTTCCCACGTATCAACAACACGGAGAAGCAAACAGCAGCAAGGTCTAAGTTAGGAGGCACAGGAACGGAGCACTCAAGTGGTGTCAAGGATGTGCTGACACACGGATGCTGGAGCTCTTGGACATTCACAGCAGCTGCTAATTTTAAACGGCTGTCAATGACAACTCTCATGCATTCCTCCGAACTGGATTTCAGCAATTTCAGGTGTCAGATTAACGTATGGAAAGGCACTTTCACCACAGCACAGACTGCACAGTGCCTTGTGCAATACAGCTGAGCCTCCTGCTGATGGACCCCAGTTCCAGACTGGTTTCATCATTACCAGAAAACATAAATTCCCTCAGTTACGTTTAGAAGCAATTTAACATTTATGAGGTAAATCAAAGGGTTGAATTTTAACAG